AGGGCAGCAACCAGGTTTTCCAAATTTTCAGTGGTGCAGGACAGATATTCACGAAAACTTAAATTAAGATACAATCGAAATTTTAAGAAATACTGCAATTCGATTGGCTGACCAGTAAAATCAATTTGGATATATCCAATGAAGTTGCAGTATTTCTTAAAATTTCGGTTGTAACTTAGTTTAAGTTTTCGTGAATAAGGGCCCAGGACAAAAAGGGTGTCTATAGTCGTTCGGATTTTAAGTAACACTAGCGGTGTCTCGTGTATACCATTGAGAGCACGCTAGTAATCCAATGATAGAAATCAAAGTATGGACTTGTTAAATCCCATTTCATTTTATTTCTATAGTGTTAATATTTTTTTTTTTAGGGGATCACGTGGCTAAGTGGGTAAGACGCTGGCTCGCTAGCCTGGAGGTCGGGTGTTCGATCCCTGCATTGGCCGAGAAAGTTCATCCAGATTTTCCGGCGTGGTTCCCCCTTGTCAGTGATGCAGGATGGAGGGCCTGAAAAGGACAGCTGTCTAGTCATTCGGATGAGACGAAAAACCGAGGTCCCGTGTATACATTGGAATGCACGTAAAAGATCCCTTGGCAGTTGGAATTCGATATAAGAGTAGGCGATAGTGCCGCTGCCCGGGCAAAATATCCCTCATAGCACACTGTATGGCGTATGCCCGTCTTCATTAGCCCAGTTTAGGAGCAGAATAGTAGGACGTTCAACCCCATTTCATTTCATTTTGTTAACATTTTAATGTTTATATACCCACCCAATGATTGGTTACGCCTATTATTGTGTGTCATTATCACATCATATTGCGTCCATATATCAACCCTCTATAGATTTTCTATGATGTTTTATTGCTACACGATCACAGAATATTACTTATTGAAGGGAAGTGTATACATATCATATTTTGAAGCCATAAATAGAAAATTGAACACGATTTTATGATTTACTGTTAATCTGAGATTGAGAAAAACCCGAGTTCACTATTTAAAGTGGAATAATTCAAAAAGTATTGTACATATATCATTAACATCTGACATTTCGTACAAATCAGATATTTGGCAATGGCACTTCAAATTGCAGGTTAATCAGCCAAATAGTGTTTAAATAGTACGAGTTTTAAAAAAGAATGTCAAATCGTCTTTTACCGGACTGAGAAATCACACCACACTAACCTCAATTTACATAAACTGATGGGCAATATGTCCCCCGTCTTGCTTTCTATACCCAGATATCGAATTTCTTATTTTTTCTAAGCTTATTTCTGCCAATTTTGCAAGAATTGTATCCGTCATTTCATTCTCCGTAAGTGGTTTCGAGCGTCATTCATAAACCTTTTCCGGGCACTTTTTTCCGCGAGACTGTTTCGGATGTCGGAATCAAATCCCCCGGGCTGTGGCGGGCCACTTCCACTAATCTCTCAGATTATTAAGAAAGTCTTCTAGCGACCGAGCGAATATATTCACTGCTGATCAGTGTGGGCTCGGAATATTGAATCTCCATATAAAACAATCTACCTCGGATCCCATAAAAACAAAATATAAAAACAAAATATCAGAGTCCCTCGCAATCCCGGGACCTGACTCCAATGGTTTACAGCATCTGGAACAGTCCTTCGGAAAATATTATGATAGGATGCATGAAACAATTTACGGAAAACGAACTGAAGGATACAATTAATGGAAGAAATAAGAAGCTTAGATGGAATAATACGAAATTCGATTTTTCTGCATGAGGTGGGTGTCATGTGACTTCTCAATATTAGGCCTACTATATTAACATCATTTGAGCGATAGACCTGCAATTTGGAGTGGAGTTGTCAAACTTTTAAGGTTCACAGTGTACATAATCTTGAAAGTTAATGATATAGATACACTATTTTGTTTTTTAAATTATTCCACTTTAAACAGTTAACTTGGTTTTTTTTCTGGGCTACTCGATATACTGAATGTCATTATCACGGTTAGATTGACCGGGTTGCAGTGTTTACGTTCGGTAGCACGATTTACCCAGATCACATCTATTAACAGACTGATGATTTTACACATAAGGATAACAAAGTACAGTCTCTTTCATTCAAACAAGTATTTTGATTATTGTTTTATTTTTATTTTTTTTTAAAAAAAGAAGAAAAAATCCGGTCGTACTAATTTATATTGAAATTAAAAAAATTATGGACCAGGGCGGGAAGTGTTCTCAGGGGTGCTGTAAAATTGACGGACAATGTATATCTATTGTTTTTATGGTCGACAAATTTTTTCACAAAAGGGGGGGGGGATTTTTTGCAAAGGGGGGAGGGGGCTGTTATGGACATTTCATATATGGACAAAAACGGTGTTAATAGTCTTCAACGAGGGACGTTGTTTTTTTGTGTCAATTACACTTTTCCATCATTTTCCAATTTTCTTATGAAATCATTTAAATTTTGAATATGATGTGTAGAATTTGCATATTATCTATGAAATATCTTTCCTTGTCGGTCACTTTTTAAAATATTTTGAGCGATATTGACCAAAAAAAAATCATCCCGCCCATATCGGTCCTTGTCTGTAGACGGTAATCACTAGATAACAAACTTTAATCTCTCAACCCTCAGCGTTTTTAGTTACGTTCTCGTAGCTAGGTAATCACCACACTGATCCGCAGTGAATATTTTCTTGGCATCACTAGAACCCCCAAAACGATATGACATATCTGGAGGTAGAAAAATCTGATAATGATAAATGATGTAATCAACATAAGATATTTTAGTAATTTACATAGAAGTGTTAATTGTTGTTAAAATGAATGTTGTAACCATATAGCTCTTAACACCGATGGCGCGATATGTATTTGTCAGAGTAGACTGAATGAAAGAGGGTTTAAATTTTATACTTGTTTGGACTAATAAAGGCGAGCGTGCGCCATTAATTGAGCTATAAGGGAAGTATTTCTCGGACAGGACAACTGTTATATGCACGCCAACGTGTACCTGTACAAGTGACCTTGGTTTTTCGTCATATCCGAACGGCTGAACACTATTCCTTGCCAGACCCCCGGCCCTGTACCACTGATATTGGGAAAACCACCTCGATTGCCAGGGCAGCGGCTTTGTACTGTACTCAAACAATACTTTTGTTACACGTATCTGGTTTGCACCTTCGACCACAAGCAAAACAGATCGACGGCAATAAAAATGGTTCAAAGTGTGTAACTTATTCTCTAGAGAGCCCTAGCTGCTTTGCTTGAAAACCTTTACAGATATGTTCAATCTGTTTCACATAGGTATTGTAATCGCAACACCTATATATAATTATGACTGACCTTTATAAGTTCAAATGCCCTCTACATGTTACGTCACATCACGCGGCGTTGATTATCCACCTGCATTGTTTACATAACATGGACTGGTCTGGACTTTTACTCATTTTATATAATCATTTACCTAATAGGAAATGTTTTTTTTTAATCCAGATATTTTTCAAACACCTATATTTTTTTTTTTTAATACTCAAAAAAGAGTTCTAGAATTTTAATTTGCAGAAGGAAAAAAGTTAATATTGTATAGCTAATTAACCGACACCGATGTCCGCCCTTTCAGTGATTGCAGCACCCTAGAAAATATTCACTGCTGATCTGTGTGAGATGTGTTGGCAATATATTTTGTTTAGAATTGTAAATAATCCATTATATTAAGTACTATAAACCGCCAAAATTGTTAATAAATAAATAAATGTTACCCAACACATTGTTACCAAAATCGGTTGGGTTTTATTTTTTGAAACTCGGGCTGCTTGGCATACATTACTTTTTAAAATTTTATAGATGTTGTGCCAAACCAATATTACCTATGTTATATCATTAGTGTATCGGTTATTATTAAACATACATTATGCCAGAGCTAAATCTGCCTTTAGGCCTGAAATGTTATATGGATTATTAATTAGACATTAATTAACTTATCTAGACCATAATCAATGCTCGGTGTCATCACTAGCCTGAGATATTTACTGGATTAGGATCCGATTTGCTCCTCAACATTCATTCATGATTAAATCATGAAATGGATAATCAAGACTATGTTTTTTATTGTAGCGACTTTAGAAATGATGATCAACTTTAGTAATGATGATTGAGGCTAGGCCAAAAATCCAATCGCTAAATTCTCGGTTCAGGGTGGATCAATTTGACTGAAATTATCAGCAAATTCCCTTTACATTATCTAGTTTTTAACTATTATAGTGAGAACTTTCAGCTCTTTATTTAATCTCCCTTAATGTATCTTTAATGAAGGTTAAATTTTAATGTTTATTTTATTGTGGAGCATTACACTTACAATCAGTTTAACTGTATAAGTGCGATTCTCCTCAATAAAATAATGACAGTTTAATGACCCTAACTAAATAGTTAACACAGGTCCACAGATAATGACATTTGTTCAGGTAGATTATTAATGGGTTCAAAGGGTTAAGAGTAGGTCAAAATACCTTTTATATTAAACTAAAATACTGTTTCAATGAATGAAATGTTGTTCAACCTTCTATTTTTCTGCTCCAATACGGCTAATTATGAACATTGTTCCTTGCCTGGGATTAACTGAGCTGGATAAGAGAGAGAGAGAGAGAGAGGGAGAGAGAAATGGGGTTTAACGTCCACTCGACACAAACTAGGTCATTTTGGGACTAACATATGGTTTAATTTTATTTCAATAATTCGCTTGCGCACAGGGGTCTTTAGCAGTGGGAGGAAACCGGAGGACCAGGAGAAAACCCACGAGGTTGGACAGGCGACCCTACTCCTTGTCATATACAACCGGGGATTCGAAACCACGCCAGTCAACTCAATGACAGACTTTATGATACAGCGCGCGCACGCTAACCATTCAGCCATCCAACCCCCCTTAGCTGGATAACACCAGGATCGAATCAGGATCTCCAGGTTAGCGAGCCAGCGCCTTACTCACTGCCTCCCCCCCCCCTCCACCCAACTGTTTGAAAAATGAAACACCATTAAGTAATATTATTTATATAAAGTTTATTGTGGATAGAAAAACAATATAACAGGTTTATCTTATATATGTACATATTCAATATACAAAAGTTTGAAAATCTTACAAGCACTTTCTTTGAACCTTTATCCATGTACATATAAATCAAGCAATATATTATTTCTCATTAATTAAAATAACAACAAATCAAAACCAAAATATAACAAAATCTATCTTAATAGTCAAAGAAAATGTTTAATTTAGAATCTTGGAATTAAACAAACATGGCGAAAATTTCAGCAAGTTTGGCTTAAAAAGGTACATTTGGTTAAATATTGGATATACAATTGTATCTCAAATAAAATGAATTATGGCCTCAAAGGGGTAAATCACTTTGTATTATTAGTAATAATAATTTTTTCAAGTATGTAAGGAAAAAGAGTTACTAACCATCTGTTTATATTGGGATATAATCTCCCTTAATTTGAATCTGAATTCACCATGTCATTATTTCTTAAATTATTCATTATTCAAATAAGTTAAATATAATTTTCTATATGTACAATACTGCTCTAGTTGAGATTTTATGTACAAATATATAAAGACAATGAATATTAATAATAATACTACATATAAACAGCACACAGAAAGGTTTTTGATTGGTCCAATATTTACACTATTTACATATTAATGAATATGCATGATAACTATATAAGTAATACACACTTCACCCTAGCATTGTCTGCGATATCACTTCGGTGGAAGCGGACATAAAATAAAGCTTTTTCACACACACACACACACACACAAGCATGATTATATAGAATTAAATTCTTGTTTATATTCATTCTTTCTCTCAAACAAAACCAATCTAATATTTATAATCATAGTCAAATAAAACATTTCAGAACAAGGAATTAAAATGTTAAATTTTGAATCAATTACTTGAATTTGAAGAAATTCAATCTGAACTGTGTCAATTTTAACATGATTCAAGACAGTCTTTACGCCCCCCCCCCCCCCCACAAAAAAAATAAAATAAATCATTGGTTTTAGTGTTTTAAGATTTCAAATCCTGTATCAGATTTAAAGATGCATTATAGATACAGAGCTGTCGGTTCTTGCTGTAATTGTTTAAAAATAAATAATGAATATTGAAAATATCAGTCAAGTTACTTTATTTGTTTGAGGTTTTGATAAGATAGTCTTGATTGTCAATCCCCATTGCTAACCACTGCCACGATAATAAACAAAGTCTTGATTATTCATTTTAACGTTAAATTATTGAATGGCACAGTGTTCTAGTCCATTAAATATCACTGCCATCTGATCATCAGATGGTATAGAGCTTTGATTATGGGCTTGTCATGTGAATAAATCTATAATTATTAATTATTTAGCTCTTGAATAATGCATCTTTAAGCATTCGGCCAATAATAAAATAATATACCTAAAATAAGTTTCCTAGTTCATAACAAGACACTGATTAATAGACAAAGAAAATATTGACAACAATAATTATTCTAGATACATCTAACTAAATAAACAACACAATAAAAACAACAATAAGAGAAATGAGATGTGTCCAAATAAAATATAATAACAATTAATAACATGCAGATAGTAAACAAACAAAAACAATAATACACAGGAGTACAATAGATTTCATATACAATAAATATAACATGTACCAAGCTGTCAACATATTTTTATAAACCTGTCTCAAAGTTCAAAAGGCAAGAAATCAGTAAATTATATTTTTTGATGAGACTTAATTTGATTATATTGTTTCATCTGGCATGTTCAAATTAGATCCTATAAATTTTGTAAATAGACTCAATTTGACTATAAAGTTCAATTTGGTTTGTTCAAATTAGTTGTAATTAGACATAATTTGACTATATAGTTCATGTTCAAATTAGATCATATAAATTTTTTAATTATACTTAATTTGACAATAATAGTTCAATATAGCACATTCAAATTAGATCCTTTTTTTAAAAAAAAAAAAATTATTCTTAATTTGACAATACAATTCAATCTGGCATGTTCAAATAAGATCCTATAAAAAAAAAAGATACATTTGAGAGTGGTTTACATGAAGTCCAATAGTCTTATAAAATGTTTTGCTTTAAGAAGGGAAATCAATGTAAGGAATCTTGATAATTAGTTACATTTTAGAGTTATTTTGAATAAAATATTATATAAAATTATTTACACAAAACACACTTGAGTAATAAATAATATAAGTACTGTTAAATCAAGAGAGTCGATCAGCTGGTCGGCTATAAGAGTCCACTGTGCCATACAACCTGTTTCAAATTCAGATTTCAAATGACTCTTAATCGCTTAAATACTTAATATTAGGCTTTAAGAAGTAAATTAAAACCAACATCCAGAAGACACTAGTACTTTTATAACGTTGAGCATTATTTACTAGATTTCAAATACTTTAGTATTAGTAATGCATTGTATTTAATAATGCACAAGTTACAATTTAATAAGCTACAATGTATTTCACTGAACTTAAATGATCACAGAATATACTCACTCAAATTAAAAACTTCACACTCATAAATTTATAAAGAATGAATTGAAATTTGTTAATTGACAGTTGTCATGAATACTGACGGTAGAGACATTGTCAAAGACGACATGCCGCAACTCAGTGCCCACGTGCACCAATTTGAAGGACGTGCAAATGAGTTTTGGACCAAAAGTGTGTTTTAACATGCCTACATGAGACACATGCTTTTGTGCTCACTTACGCACAGTAGAGTGACAAACCAGGAAAACGTGTTCAAACAAGCATTGATACTGTGAATTTCAATGCCATGACTGTCAAATGTTCAGCGTGAACGTGACGTTGGCATGCTGCACACGGATACGTCCGTAGCTGTGAATTTCAATGCCACGACTGTCAAATGTTCAGCGTGAACATGTCGGCATGCTGCACACGGATACATCCGTAGCTGACGTCACGAGGGTGATGGGATGCAGTCGCCGGACAATCCATAATCTACGGACAAGAAATGGGCTCCACAGCTGAAGGTCCTCATCCTGTTCGACGTGTTCAAACAAGCATTGATACTGTGAATTTCAATGCCACGACTGTCAAATGTTCAGCGTGAACGGGACGTTGGCATGCTGCACACGGATACGTCCGTAGCTGACGTCACGAGGGTGATGGGATGCAGTCGTCGGACGATCCATAATCTACGGACAAGAAATGGGCTCCACAGCTGAAGGTCCTCATCCTGTTCGACGTGTGACGTCATAAGTAGAAGACCGACATTTTGTGTTACGCCACCTTCGCAATCGATTTGCCACTGCAACATCCCCTAGAAATGAACTGTTCCATGGACATCTTGTGTTTGGAACAGTATCCAAGTTGTGAATTAATATTTTCACTCTCAGACGTTTGGATGACTGTTGGTGGAAATGGGCACACTATGGACCTGATATCTAGTGAACTTTGTCATCATGGTGCTCAGAATAAAATAATACCTTAGTCAATGCATTCTTTGCTCATATGTTCTAACTGGCGACCGTCAGTTTAATTTGACTGAGTATAGTACAGTTCATTTTATTTTAATATAATTGTAGTCAACAAGATAATAAAACTAATGCCCCACTTTCATGTGAGACCACCCTTTGAACCTGGACTGAAGCTGGAAGTGCCCCTCAGACCTCTGACTACAGGCTCTGTAGTACTGGGCCATAATGAGTTTACTATACATCTACGATTTCCGTAGACCAGACACAAAAGTTTTTGACAAACAAAAGCTTTTGTAGCCGAGATACAAAGTGCTACGAATAATACGATTGTGTAAGTACCTTTAAGAATAACTTTTACAACCGACTACGATTTATCTACGAATCGTGGCATTCGTAGCCCATGTGAAAGCAGAGCATAAAAGTCAATAATAGGTTTATATGTTGAATGATAGGTTATAAAAGTTTGAAAACAAGAGAAAAATGATTATTTTAGTAGCTCATTTTTGAAGATGCCAAAAACTACTGCTCCGTAAAAAAACATCAAACCACCCAAGTCATAGAACTAGTATAATACTTACAGTCTTTAAATAGTCCAGCAGTGATTTTGTGCTATCGAGTGGATTAAATCGCATCCAAAATTATGACTGATTAACAAGTTTTAGAGGAGTTATTCCCCTTTTCCTTTCTCGAATATCAACAGTTTTAAACAAGATAACATAAAGCCCAGTTTACGTCGCGACAAAACTGACAGAGACTCAAAATCAGCGACTGGTTTACGATCAAATGGAACTGATCAGTCGTGACGACCTGGGCGACCCGAGGGCTCTTACAACACAAGTGCACCTACAACTACCTTGAGTCAGCGCCTCGCTGAGGTAGCCAATAAGATTTGGTTATTTAGTCACGTAGTACCCAGGGGCGGTAATAAACATTGCGGAAAAGTGGAATTAAACCATTTTGAAGGTTATCACATGGCAGTCATGTGAACAGTTCTGGCACCGATTCTCTAACAGACGCCGTGTCACATGAGCGTGCTTACGACTATGATCAGCTGGATGCCCGTGGTTGCATCCAGTCGTGGATAAATTCAGTTGTAGCAACATATAAGCTCTCAGTTGCGGTTAGTCATTGTCAGTTTTATTGTGTCATAGGCCGACATAAGCTTGGCTTTAGGAGTATGCATGTAACCACATATAAAGGACTTATTCATAATTGGATTAAAAAACTGAGATTAGCTAGGATTTCGTCTTAGGAATACCAAATCTCTTTAATAATACCATCAGCAATAATTCAGTTAAAATTCTTTTTCCTGAGTTCAAAATAATCTACTGGTACATGTATTCACAAGTTAAGATTAAAGGTGAAAGACGATGTATTAAAGGCGTTGATTTTGAGTATAAGTTGCAACTGGAGTGTCATTAACTAAATTCTGTCTACTGGATGCTTGCGACTGTGAATCTTCATCCCCACTATCCATTTTATTTTCTCGCTGATAAAAAATCTTAGCTTTATTTATTGGGGGACCTGAAAAATAAATAATGAATTTATGTCCATTACAAAATTGTCACATTCAAGCAATATGGATTCCGGAATCCAAATCTCAACTTTTGTCCTATAATGGTGGCGGCTGATGTGAATAAGTTCAGAGCAGGGCATAATTAATTATTACTTTCAATGCTGATAAAGATGTTCATTTTTATATTATATCTTCATGTGGTTAAGTACAGAAATCTTTCTGGTTTGTCACATGGTCTCAACAAACAGATTTTAGAAATTGGGAAACTAACATTTAGTATCAGGTCAAAGCAGACAGTTCAATATATCAATGTTTATATTCAATATGAAAATGGCAGCCAAGTGAAGAGATATATTTGCTGATCAATGGACATTTAGAGGGGAGTATTTGCTGACCAGCAGACATATAGAGAGAAATATTTGCTGTTAAACGGGCATTTAGAGGGAAGTATTTTCTGATCAACAGACATTTAGAGGAATATATCTGCTGATCAGCAGACACTTTGAGGGAAATATTTGCTGATTTTTAACACATATCTGATAAATTTTATTGTAAAATTGGGCAGGACAGTGATTCAGATGAGGAAAATGACACTTTAGCCCAAGTTATTGTGATAACTGACGGTCGCAATAATCATGCCCCTCATACAATAAAACAATGGATGATCTGGAGCCACTGCCATGAAATTATTTTATCTTATGGGGTTTGGTGCAGTCCTCCTGCATTTACTATTTGAACCCCAAACCATTAACCAAAAAAAAATTGAGTTTTTTTACTTACCCACGTAACTGAGCATTACTGGTAGAAATATTAGACCATGTGTAGCTCCAAAAACGACAATACCCAGATACATACGGAAATAAAACACTTGGAATAACTGTGATTTAGAGAAGGCTAATACAATAATTCCTCCTAACTTAGTTAATGTTATACCAGACAGAACCTGCAATATACAATAATTCTACAAGTTTAGACAATGTTATACCAGGCAGAACATGTAATATACTATAATATCTACAAGTTTAGTCAATGTTGTACAAGACAGAACATCTAATATACAATAACTATATTAGTTTAGTCAATGTTGTACAAGACAGAACCTGTAATATACAATAATTCCTCCTAGCTTAGTCAATGTTTCTCCAGACACTTAGGAAAAATATAAAAATCAAATTAAATATACCAAAATATCTTGTCATTATGTAGTCCAGAGACACATATGATTTTAGATCTTAACAGTATAAAAAACTTTATAATTCCAATGCCTGATATAATCGTTTTTCAGTTTAAGCCAGTGCTTGGATTCTCGCATCCTCGGTATCCCCAGTGGTCTCATACCGTTCTACTACACTATACCCTGGATTCATTCATGGGGTATTCACATATTCAAATTATCTGCTCTTGATCGCAGCTTGAGTCTGTGAACCAATCCAAAACAGTTTACAATACAAACCAGTCTTAACCTCATTGTTTACATTCACAATAATATGCAGAGATAAGCTAGCCTACTATAAGGATTTTACCCCACGATAAGCAGAAAAAAAAGCTGGCACGCTATAAGAAATTTTCTGAACGACCATATTTCTTTTCATTTCTTATGTTCAATATATAGGGTATTGCAATATTAAAAGGTCTTGCAATAATGCCGGTTTAGTCTGTCGACCCCAACATCAGTGTATGAAATATTTAATGAATTTCAAACCTACCGAACTGCCCATATGTGCTAAAGCATCTTTTGCTCTCTCTTTTCTAGTTGGCATGGTGCTAACAGTGAATGCTCGAGTTATATGAGAACAAAACTCTACAGATATACCAACAGCCTGAAAATAATGATAATTATAAAATGTTATTTAAATCTAAAAATTTAACTGATAAATCTTTGATGTAAATGATTTAGGAATCCATGGTGGCTCAGTCGCTGGCTTCCAAACATGGAGTCAGGTGTTTGATCCCGAGGTTGGCTGAAAAAGTTCCTCAGGATTTTCTGGCGAGGCTTCCCATCATCAGTCGTGTATGACAAATGGCCTGGTAAGGAAAAGGATCTAGTCATTCGGATGGGACAAAAAACCTGAGATCCAATGTACACAAAAAAAGAACCATTGCTATTGACAGTTGGAATTTTTAATCAAGAGTAGGTCGTAGCACAGCTGTCAAGGCAAGATTTCTGTCATAAAACATTGCATGGCGTATCTGTCATCATTAGCTGGGATGGAGAAGAAAGACAGGATGTTATAAAAAAAAAAAAAAAAAAAAAAAAAAAAAATTTATTTCCATTCTATGCCAGTAATATCGTTAAATTTTACATTAAGAAAGATCAGTCATAATGTAAATATTTGTTTCTAGAAAATACAACTAATCATTTTGACACCTACCATTACAAGATTTACAAGAGCAATTGCGTTAAGAGAAATATTCCACAGATACATCATTCCCATTATATCAGCTACTATAAAACATATCGTTATGACAACCATCAAGGCAGAAAACAGCTCACAGCCTAGCAACAGGAAAGTGACAACAAAGATGGCTGCTACACAAACACCCAGATTAAACATTGTGTCATAGACGATTGTTAAATACTGTTCGTAGAAAACATAAAATACACTGCAAAGAAAAACACAGAAATCTCTATATATTATTGTTACCGATACACATAATCTCTTTAATCTGTTATTACAGTTCAAATCTAGAGTGCATTGTGTCATAGACGATTGTTAAATACTGTTCGTAGAAAACATAAAATACACTGCAAAGAAAAACACAGAAATCTCTAAATATTATCGTTACCGATACACATAATCTCTTTAATCTGTTATTACAGTTCAAATCTAGAGTGCATGCTGAATACCGAAACATTTGTTGCTGAAAGCCAAAGATTTTCATTGCAGAGATCATTGCAACAAAAACGAAAATTGCTCCATGTGTGGGTACAAGCAAAAAAGACTGGTAACATTTATCCAGTTCTGTGATTTATGAGTAATTTTCTATCATTTGAATTGCAGGTAAACTAAGTTAAAAAAATTCTATTTATTCTTTTACTTTAAAATGTGCAGACTTTGAGTAAAAATAAAAAAGTTGTATTCATTCTCTCACTCTATAAATGGCTAGACAGTTTGGATCTGAGTAAAAATAGTTCTAATTCAACAACAGAAAACATAATAAAATAGTTATTTTATTTGAAACACGGAAAATGACTAAATACTTTCACCTGGTCAAAATAAAATCATTGATTAATTTACATTGATGGGTTGATTGGTTTTATAAAGTGGCTATCTGTCATGATTTACACTAGTTAGGTCTAGAGTCAATAAGATATAAGTGATTTTGAGTTAAAACAATTGAAACATAAAATATAAGTATATATAATATATCATACCTGTAAGGGAAGACAGTTAAGTTATTTTCAGGACCATTAAATGATAAGGTAATATTTTCTGATATTTCCCGTGCATTCTTTAATGCATCAATATAATCTTTAGATGTCTTTAATATACTGTGATATGTCATAAAATAAGTAGCTGAAATAACAATTAAATAAAATTATGTTTTACATGGATATTTATGATTTTCAAGATTTTAAAATGTTCTGTTTGAAAACGTAAATTACTGCAGATTAGCATTGAGCAGGAAATACTGGTTTATATATCATGATAAAAGAGAGAGAGAGAAATGGGGTTTAACGTCCACTCCACACAAACTAGGTCATTTCGAGACTAACATATGGTTTAATTTTATTTCAATAATTCGCTTGCGCGTAGGGGTCTTTAGCAGTGGGAGGAAACCGGAGGACCCGGAGAAAACCCACGAGGTTGGACAGGCGACCCTACTCTTTGTCACGTACAATGGGGGATTCGAAACCACACATCATGATAAAAGGTCCCAAACACCTTCAGTGGGGACTATACTTATATCTACTCTCTATGTCAAAATCATTATATGTTTCAATAGTTACGTGGAATTAGTTTGTTTGTGCCACCTCTTTCATTTATTCAAGAGAGCGTTGCCAATCACCACCTTGTTCTAATTTATTTATACAGGTAATATACTTAAGCATTTTTTATATTTTTACCTCCGATAGACTGATTGCCATCCTTTAGTTGTACGGCATTACCATACGCCGCATGACCCCTGTAAAGATATATATTTATATATAAATAAAAACAGGGAACAACACTCGTATAGAGTGTTTTTTACTTACATCAGCACAAGCAGTTTTTGCCTTGTTCGCCACAAAAGCAATTTTTAGATTCTGGAGTAGTTTCAATTCAACATCAACATTTTTTAATTGGATACATCAATGATGGAACAGTTCAATCAATGTTCAAATATTTCAGAAAATAAGATTTTTAAAGGAATAGTTCTATGCAAAAAAAATGATCAGTATGAACTCATCTTTACTGCCATCATTAGCGCCAGTCACAGAGCAAAACCAATGGAATGGACTGGACCCATATCAACCAAATCAGCCCTTGCAATCTCATAATGATTATTCTGCAGTTGAATTTGAAACATTTTAGTGGGAGAAGTTTTAGTTTAGTTGTTCCTAAATGGTGGAATGATTTATCTCTGAAGATCAGAGATTTTGAAACCTATTATGGAACGATTACGAGAATAGTATATAACCATCTTTCATGGTGTTTTGAGCATGCTTTTGGATATTAATGAGGACCTACAAATTACATTATTATTATCATCTGATCATTTTTCGCAAATTGGTCATTCTGAGACTGACATATCATATCATGTGTAATACATCAAAGAAAAATCATCCACCCCAATGAGAGATTCTGTATTGAAATCTAACTATCAAGGAGTGACACACTCACCAAAATAAGATATTCTGTATTGAAATTTAACCACCAGTGAGTGAAACATACACCCAATACTTACCCTTTAGCACATTTTAATTCTGGATTATCTTTTAAATACCAGGGTAAATATTTCATAAAATCAGCTTCCTGGGGGCGATTATTGACAAATGATTTGACATCACATGGTACACAGTCAGGGTTAGGATCTGTAATAAAATCGAAATATGTGACTGTAGATGAGCTCTTACAAAGAGAGATACAATAATGTTGATTTGTTTATTTGGCTAAAATGGGAATACACAAAACTTAACATTCAAATTGATCAAATCAGCTTTTTTATTTTTTATACTATTATGGTGAGAAAAAAAAAAAAACCCCAAAAACATAATTGGGGATTTCGGTCTACTTTTACTTATGTATGCATTACCAATTTATACACAGTACCTCTGGTTTTTTTTATTTGTTCCATGCCCTGTAGAATTCAGATTTAAAAACTCGAAAAGGTTGTTCTCAGTCCTTTTCCTAACCACACAACCATGTAGAAGACAAATAAATGGCAACAATACTTACTTGTAGCTTCACAGAATTCTAATGTAACGTTGTCATAGCGACAACATTCTGGACTTCCCCCTGGTTCTAACCAATTAAAATAATCATCTAGCCATGAATTAGAAGTATGTGCTATCTTTGATCTATAAAATCAAAATAAAATCAACGGTCTTTTATAATCATTAAATAATCAATTGCGCTGATTAAGCTGTGAAAATTGTCTGAAAAATGCAAATCAGCTGCTGTAACGCCATATAAAAAATATCCTCTACTAATTAATGCAGAACAGAAACTGACTTTCAAAATTATTAAATGTCTTTCTGTAATAATAATTTTGAAGTGAGAGTCCAGCTGCAGAACCAAAAACTTCAGAACGTAATAATTCTTATAACAAATTTGAGTGTAAAATATAAAACTTACACATTAGCCCATCTAGTAGCTTGAAAGACTTGACCAAGCAATGAATCCTGTGGACAGCCACTCCCGCCACATATGGCATTCTGACCTTTCAGACTTGTATAATTATGTCCATCTTTTACCACAAAATAAACCGGAGCACCAACAGATAAATATTTTGTCAAATTGTTGAAATATTGCAATACATAAGAATCCTGAAAATTGATATTAAGAACTAATAAAATATTTAAATATATAAAACATAAAACATATAAGGTTAATCAATCTTAAAAAAACAAGGGTTGCCATGAAACACAGTCACAAACATACACACATACACTAGCTTGTTTATCTGAGTAACAATCAACTATGTTCTGATGTGATGATATTACAACCAGATTACCTCATTGTGTTAATGAGGGCACCTGGTAACAAAATGCCAAAAATACGGCCCTGTATTCTCTGAATGAACGCTACACATAATCTGTTTTATTTTCATGCTTGTAAATTAAATAAAATGTATATTTTGCAATATATGTTTTTCCCAATCTGATTAAAACACAGATCCTATTTTGTTTCGTTTTTTATAGTTCAAAATTTACTGCACTAAGATCTGGAAGAGATGTTATATAACCCGCATTCTGGTAGATGTGAGGGAATAGCCAATTAAACGGTCTGTTGCAGCGAGTTCTTGGCGTGCGATGCACAGAACTGTAGGTATCTTACTAGAAACATCAATGCTGATTGTTTAATCATATGTCTAGCGTTATAGGGTCAAAAGCCGCTCATATGACCCCTGACACAACCTCCCATGCTGTAGAGGTCATCAAAAGTAGAATAAAAAAATAAAAAAAAATATAGATCAGTATTTTAATCAGACTGACGTTTTTCCCTATATTGTTTTTGGGCTATATTTCCGTGGGGGGGGTCGGGGGGGGGGGGGGGGGGTATGGGGTCCTAGTGTATCAAACCTTGTTGACAAGTCATCTACAACACTAACAAACATACCACGATATAAATTCGAGTGGTCCTTAAAGGTCACCGAAAAAGCATCAATTCTTTTTTAAATATTGCAAGTAATTATGTCAACATATCCTTTCCATAAGGATAACCCAAACCCGAATGTCAATATTACCTGCAACAGGTAAATTTCAACATTAGTAATTTACGCCGTTCTCCGTGGATAGTCGTAACTTTCCATCAATAAGCAATCTGTGACGTCATTTTAGTCCTTCTGCACATAGAAATATAGACTAGAATATGAGCAGAAGGACTAAAATGACGTCACAGATTGTTTATTTACAGAAAGTTACGACTACCCACGGAGAATGGCGGAAATTACTAATGTTGAAATTTACTTGTTGCAGGTAATATTGACATTCGGGTTCGTGTTATACTTATGGAAAGGATATGTTGACATAATTACTTGTATTATTTTAAAAATCTATGAACCTTTTCCGGTGACCTTTAAACCACATTTCTCCCTCTCCACAATAGTATAATGTTTTCTTATTAAACTTGGAACAAACTATACTAGGACAAATTTCTAAGCAGATATAATATCACAAATATAACTCAACAATACCACTCTTCTTATTAAGCTTAGATCAATCTACAAGAACTCATTGTTCTAAGCTTAGATCAATTTATAAGAACTCATTGTTCTAAGCTTAGATCAATCTACAAGAGTTCATTGTTCTAAGAACAAATTATACAAACTCATTGTTCTAAGCTTAGTTAGAAGCTATGATATTATTTACACATTTAATATTAAAACTCAAAAATATCTTACCTCAGGCATGGAGAGAGATTGATCTAAACCTACTTCTATTTTAGAAGTCATCGCTACACTGGCACAGAAATATCCAACAAATAACACCATCTATATGAATATATTAAAAATAATAACTATTATATAGCTTTAATTATCCAGACACTAGATTTCTAACATGTGAATCATTCCCCTTTTGTCCAGTTGGCAATAAATAATTCATTTAAATAATCTAAATTTAAAGGGTAAATAGATGTATTGCTACATATGATCATTTTCATAGACCAGTTATTGTGGGATTTCACATCATGGATCATATATTTTACTTTATACTTAGTTATATAGATTTCTACTACTCTATTAGTAATAGTAAGTGCAGGAGGACCACACTACACGCAAAACCAAAATCTACAAGATAAACCTGCGGACACGACAGAAAATAGACACTGCAGATTTGTACCAAATAAACAAATATCAAATACCATAATTTCATGCACATTTCGTATAAAGCTTGAGCAAACAGATCATTTTATTGACTGATAACTTCTTTGTGAAATAGTGAAATATTCCAAATTCTGCAATCATGGTTACTGAATTTGGTTTAACACTTTCAGTCAACAATATCTAGAACTTTCTCGCCCAAAAATGGGACCGAACCCTGCACACTCATTGAACTATTGTGGCTTCCTATCTAAAAGTCTATTAATCAGAAGGTACTAATACTCTACATCAACGTGCACCTTATCACTGAGCCACTTTGACTCTCTGTAGTCAATGTACTATATATACTTACAACAATTGGACGAACCCATTCTTTCATGAGGAAATGTGAGTAATAGTCTTTAACTATTGTATATAATATACCATTATCATTCTCTAATTTATTACTGTCATCTTCCTTCACACAACAACAACAATCAAAACGATTACCCTGAATAAACAAATCATAAAACTAATTAAATTAATTGAAATGGGGTTACCAAATGGGTTAACGAAGATATGCATGTGCCATACAGCCTATTATAATTTCTAATTCCAATTGTGAATTCAGATCAAATTGTCATGGCACTCTGTACCATCTGAACAACTAGACATGACACATCCTCCATCCCGCACCAATGACATGGGGGAACCACATATAAATACAATTTTTATTAATATGTACTTAATAATGTTCATGTTAGATTGTATGCAAAACTTTAGAGAAATTTGTCAATCATTCTATGAGGGACAGATTCATTGTGAGTCATTTTCCATAATAAGGTGGGACTTGTATTATTTTGAATATGATGTTACATAAAATTACATTTATTTTATTTTTGAAAGTGATCTTTAAAATCAAGAAAGTTAAGAGTCTTCCTTTGGGTAAATAAAAGAGAACTTTATACTTCACGAAGTATCAAATTAGAATTACTACAACCAAAATTCCAGTAAGCATAAATTTAAAGATATTTAAGGACAAACCTCTGCCCGTCGAGCATCGATCGTCATGACGCTAATCAAACAGGTGATCTGTAAGAAGAAGTTAAAAAACACTGCCATTCCAGCATAGAGAGAAAATATCCGTACAGCAGGCATAGTAGTTAAAGCACCTGAAACAAAAAGTAGTAAAATATATTTAACACTAACAGCTGGATGGCGATTAACAAAAGGTACAATTTTATGGATACACAATTACTGAGTTTAATACTAAGCAATGTTTCGACGAGGATACTCTTGTCTTTATCATTTGCTTGGTAAAGACGAGTATCCTCGTTGAAACGTTGCTTGGTATTAAACTCAGTAATTGTGTATCCATTGTACCTTGTGCTAATATGTTCAATTACTTAATGCCAATCAAAGAAGATGGATGGTGATTCTTTCTGGTTATCTTTGAAAGGCAGATTATCTTTGTAATGTTGTAATCCAGTCTATCCAGCAGGATTGTGTATGGTAGATTTAATGTAACATGTCAGCTTAACCTGTAAAATTATGTCATTTCTGTTTAATTAGATATACTTTGCCTATAATTATGATTCTAGGAGAAAGATCATGTTCTGAACAGGGGTTTTATAGTCCTAAAAATGTTGACAAGGGGTGAAACTTACCAAGGAAAAATGCAACTAGTTAAAACTTACCAAGGAAAAATGCGATAGATTCCGATGTTGAAGTGAGTAACATGCTGGGACCAACTTTACCAACTACACGTCCTATCTGCTCATCTAGTGTCTCATTCGCCAAACGCTTCTCTCTCTATATAATATATACATATACTATTCAAAAAAAGTAGGGGATATTTGATTTTTAAGTGTTATTAAAGTCACCTAATGAAACTGACGAAGAAACAAATGACAAAATGAAATGAAGTTCACATTCATCGATTTATTCCAAATGATCGTTAGACTAAGTAAGGCACAGACTGACCATTATAAGGGTAAAATGATACCCGGGGTCAAACAGCAAAGTTACCACAGCATCACAACCAAGTCAGTAACGGGTAAATCCTCCTCTGTTTGCCAAACAAGCATTGATCTGACGTGCCATACTCCTAATGAGACGTCTAAGGTCATTTTGGTCCAGATTGTCCCATTCCTGTTGCAACGCAGCAGCAAGTTCTTGGACATTGGCAGGACGTTGTTGACGTTGACGTAACCTCTGTCCAAACATGTCCCAGACATGCTCGATGGGGGAGAGGTCGGGACTCAGTGCTGGCCAAGGTAATGTGGTGATGTTCTGTTGTTGGAGGTAACCTGTAACGATCCTGGCCCTGTGACATCTTGCGTTGTCATCCTGGAAGATGAAACGGCGGCCATGACGTCGTGCGAACGGCACAACATGGACTGCCAAGATGTTGTCCCGGTAGTACTGGCCTGTAACACGCCCTGCAACAACATGTAAAGCCTTTCTTCCAGCAACAGTGATGCCTCCCCACACCATAACAGAACCACCCCCAAATCGATCATGTCTGATGACGTTAACGTCTTGGAAGCGCTCGTTTCGACGACGCCACACCCTCCTACGTCTGTCCAAAAAATCAACAGTGAACCTTGACTCATCTGAAAACATCACATTGCTCCAGCGTCGATTATCCCAGTGTTGACGATCCCTACACCAACGACGTCTTGCCTGAATGTGATGATCTCTCAAACAAGGGATCACGCGAGGACGTCGGGCGCGAAGGTGACCCCTATGCAGTCGATTCCGAATCGTCTGGCCACTCACTCTCACACCAGTGTCTGTTTGAAGACGAGCGCTGATCTGATTTGCTGTGATGACACGATTTCTCAAGGCCAAGGTACGGATAAATCGATCCTGGGCTTGAGTTGTTGCCCTTGGTCGACCTGAGCGTGGTCTGTCCTGTACAGATTATGTATCACGGTATCTGGACCATAGCCTGCTTATGACAGACTGAGAAACATTCATCGTCCGCGCCACAACCGCCTGTGTTGTGCCGATCTGTAGCATGCCAAGGGCACGTAACCTTTCATTTTGGGTAAGCCGACGCATATCAAAATTTGTTTTCTGGTCACTAAAACAATTAAACTGATGTTTCCACCCTGGAATTCAATGCCACAATGACTGTAACATTCAAAGTCAGAGTCGTGCAAATCTTGGGTTGGACCCCCATGATAATCCCAAGCATCACCTGCATTCCATGCGGTAGCTATTGGTGCGTTTGGGCGTCACATGTAACTGGAAATGTTTCTTCTGTTAGGTTCTATAGTGACTTTTTTCGTAGTCATTTGCATATTTTAGTATTATGCCCCCAAAATCAAATATCCCCTACTTTTTTTGAATAGTATATAATAAAACATAAATATAGATATATCTTCTCTATATATAAATATATATAATAAAACATAAAATCTAGATGTATCTTCTCTCTCTACAAATATACAATAACCCATAAAAATCTTCTCTGTCTACAAATATACAGGATTCATCATTATGGATTCCCCTTCCCATAAAATCCCACTGTCATTTTTATATACATTAGCATTTGTCTTAAGGACAGGTGTATGAAGAGGTAAAAGGGTTCTAATTTAAAGATACATTATGTAAGATTTAGATTCAAATTACTTCATTCTAAGCCAAGTTTTCGCTGTTAGTAGTTTTGACAAGATGTGTGCATAGTGGTAACCAGGGCACTGGTATATTTGAGACTTAGTCTCGCTTTCTCATTTTTAAATTAAATTTTTAAATGGCGAACCGTTCCAATCTAGTTAAAATATCAAGTATCTGATGCCATCGAGTTGATCATGGTCTTGTTTTGTCTAATTAATAGTTTATATAACATTTCAGGCCTAAAGAAAGACCTGCAATAGGCAGATTTAGCTCTTGCAGAGTGTATGTTTAAGTAAGGATAGTAATTGATAATGTTTTTTTTCTCCATTTTTCCTCGTGCATCAATAGACATATTACGCGCAAACAAATTATTGTAACAAAAATATACGACATTTAGTCCAAAGTGAGCAATCTTCTTTACTACTAGTTTCATTATACCATGTACATAGAGATTGCATATGATATGACAACTGGACAAAACATATTACAAAATTTCCAGTATTACTTACCTGGAAGGACTGGACTAATATAAAGATATTATCGACACCGACAGCCAGTACCAGAAATGGGACAACTTCTATAATAATCAACGTAGCTTTAACATTTAAATAACTGAAGAAACCAAGTGAACTGGATACAGACAGCAACACAATTAACACACCAACTAATCCCATTGTTACTTTCATATCAATCTATTCAAAACAAATACAAACAAAACATTAAATGATATGAAAATTAATGTATATTCATAATTTTGATAATAACAAATTTTGTCTAGTTTTTCAGCGTGTAATAACAAATATCCTATTTCATTTTGTTTTTTATGGTTTAAAATTCTTAGTTACTTGTCTTCACTACACCAGGATTTGGAAGAGTTATTAAAGAACCATCGTACTGGCTGAAGTGAGGGATTAGCCAATCAAATGGTCTGTTGCATCAAGTTCTTATCATGCAGTGAGAGGAACTGTGGGTAGACATTCGCAGCAATAGAAAACAAAACAAAGCAAAAGATGTATTTCTGAAGAGCCGCTTGGAATACCAAAGCTTATTGGTTAATCAAATGACTAACATCATACGACAGTCACTCGTACATGAACCCTTAAGCGAACTCCCACTACAATTGATCAGATCTTAAAGTAGAGGAGGCCTTCAAAAGTATAAAAGATATGTTGCCAGGCAAAGAAACATACGCCCACAGCAGCTAAATCGTCCGGGCAGTCAACAAGAGTTGTCACATATTTTTAATTTTCGGTAATGAAACATTTATAATACACTAAAATATGATTATAAATTTAAAGCCAATCGGATATTAACTTTGGCCTCTAGAACGTCTACAAGATTTTTTGAAGTGATGAAGGGCCATAACTCTGGCAGTAATTTTTGGAAATCGCTGAAAATCAATAGGCTTTTTCGTCTCAATTAAACACTGTGTATAAATTTAAAGTCAAGCAGATATTAACTTTGGCCTCTAGAGCATCCACAAGATTTTTCAAAGTGATCAAGTACCATAACTCTGGCAGTAATTATTGGAAATTGCTAAAAATCAATAGGCTTCTTCGTCGCATGACATTAAACACTGTGTATGAATTTAAAGTCAATCGGATATTAACTTTGGCCTCTAGAGCGTCCACAAGATTTTTTGAAGTGATCAAGGGCCATAACTCTGGCAGTAATTAACGGAAATTGCTAAAAATCAATAGGCTTCTTCGTCGCATGACTTTAAACACTGTGTATGAATTTAAAGTCAATCGGATATTAACTTTGGCCTCTAGAGCGTTCACAAGATTTTTTGAAGTGATCAAGGGTCATAACTCTGGAAGTAATTATTGGAAACAGCTGAAAATCAATAGGCTTCTTCGTCTCATGACCTTAAACACTGTGTATAAATTTAAGATCAATCGGATATTAACTTTGGCCTATAGAGCGTCCACAAGATTTTTTGAAGTGATCAAGGGCCATAACTCTGGCAGTAATTATCGGAAATCGCTGAAAATCAATAGGCTTCTTCGTCTCAAGACCTTAAACACTGTGTATAAATTTAAAGTCAATCGGATATTAACTTTAGCCTCTAGAGCGTCCACAAGCAATTGTGGACGCCAGACCGACAGGGGGCGACGACAATATACGACCACATTTAAATGTGGGCGTATAAAAATGAAACAAAATATTGAGCTATATTTTAAACAGATTGGTATTGGCAGAAATAAAGTTTGTCCATTTTCACAACATAAAATACAATAAAAATAACTGGAAAAATTAATATGTCTAGGCGACATTTCGAAATGTATAACATCATGATAAATTACATTCTGCACACACAGAGATTCATCTACTTCATACATCGAGAATAGATCCCTGCTCTAAATGGCCGCCATATTCAAAAATTAGTATACTGTTTCAAATCTGGCATATATACAAAGACTAAATCAACAGAATAAATACTTAACAAAATTCTCAAATTATACTAAGTGTTTTCAACTAAAATCATTGATTTAGGACTTCAATTGTCGGTAAACTAGCTTAGTGTCTGTTTTCAAGCGGAGCTAACTGTAGACAGACAGCCTAAGTTTAGTATGGATAAATTACTTACAAAGAATCTGAGTAATGTTGTAGGTGGTTGTTCATTACAAGACCAACAGCAACTAGATAGTTTACCCAGGGCGAATGTAATGTACGCAAACATAATCAAATAACTGACCAATATAGTTAATACATCAGATGCACTCTCACGATTCAATTCATCTTGTATAGATCTCTAAAAAACAAAATAGAACATATTTTTACAAGGGGGAGAATGATCTGGTATGTATGCTTTAGTTGTATTTTAAACATCTTACTGTGTATTGTAACAAAATATCTCCAATATTTATCTTACTGAGGGGGATCACGTGGCTAAGTGGGTAAGACGCTGGAGGTCGGGTGTTTGATCCCTGCATTGGCCGAGAAAGTTCATCCAGACTTTCCGGCGTGGTTTCCCCTTGTCAGTGATGCAGGACAGAGGGCCTGACAAGGACAGCTGTCTAGTTGTTCGGATGGGACGAAAAACCGAGGTCCTGTGTACATATTAGCGTGCACGTAAAAGATCCCTTGGCAGTTGGAATTCGATATAAGAGTAGGCTGTAGCGCCACTGCCCGGGCAAAATTTTCCTCATAGCACACTGTATGGCGTATGCCCATCTTCATTAGCCCAGTTTAGGAGCAGAACAGTAGGACGTTAAACCCCATTTCATTTCATTTCATTTCATTTATCTTACTGATTATTAATAGTTTGACACATCTAGATGTACGTATTGCCCACATTTTCCATAATAACATTAATATAAATGGTGTCAATTACGTCTGTAACCATATGCCATATATCAATATATTGCCGTGAATTTTGCCTAAACAATATATTGCGATACCCTTTTTGATATGTCACAATATGTTTTTTTCCTCTTTTGCAAATATTTTATTCTTTAATTGTTGAAATGTATTTAATTTTTACAACCAATGCCTCGTCACAAGTACATATAATTCAATTCCATGGCTTTATATGTTGGGTAAGAAGGTTGACTAGTCTCCTGAACTTCTTCTTTCAAGGTATTTTATATGCACTGCAGTGTTGAGGGTTCAGTTATTCTGTCGATAAAAATGACCTGTTGAAAAATTTATTCAATTGCCATTTATATATAATTAAATTTGTTTACAGTATTTATAATCTTACCTCTGAACTGAAAGCGATGCTCATATTTGGGTTTTGGTAACTCTTCATAAATTGTATGAACTTCTCTTCCCAGGCCCTGGCTTTGGCATTCTTGGCATCTTCCAGATGATTGTTGACAATAAACGAAATAACATGCGCTGTGGCATTTTTATAATCGTCACCTAAAATATAGCAGAATTAAACATTGTGAAGATATATACAGACAGTCTTGGGTGTGCTCATATAAGCCTGGAAATTCAAGAGAATCTCAGAATCTGACGTCAAGATGACTCAAACAGAGGTCAATCTCCAAATGTTTGGATATTCACAAAACTTTAGGAATTAAATGTCAAAGTTCAAAGTCTGGAACATTCGCAATTAGAGTACATTTCACTCTAGTGAAAGCATATTGGTTACCTGTTTGGTTCCCTATTTTAACAATAAATCTTTGGGGAGAGGGGAATAAGGGTTTAACAACAATTTAACACAAACTAGGTCATTTTGGGACTAACATGTGGTACAATCTTATTTCAATAATTCACTTGAATGTAGTTTTTTTTAGCAGTGGCAACCGAAGCAACCAGAGAAAACCAATGCATTCAGACAGTGACCCTGCCTACTTCTTGTCATGTATAAGTGGTGGATCAAATTCATGTTACTTTACTTAATGACAGACAATTTGGTCACCCGACCACCCATATGGTAATTTTCATTTTAATGTAGTCAACTGGCGTGGTTTCGATTCTCTGGTTATACGTGGCAAGGAGTAGGGTCACCTGTCCAACCTCATGGGTTTTCTCTGGGTCCTCCATTTTCCTCCCACTGTTAAAGACCCCTACGCACAAATAAATAGTTTGTGTTGAGTGGACGTTGAACCCCATTTCTCTCTCATTTTAATGTTTTGGGAAGCAATATATACGGGTGGGAGAAATTTGGCCAGATAGCAGCATTCCTGCCCACATTTTATTTACCAACAACCATGGGTATATTATACTAACCTTCCATGCCACCAAGAGCTATCCAGGGAAATACGGGTCCACCAAAATTTCCCAGACAGGACGAATGCAATTTCGTGGTATCATTCACTGAGGCTGGTGATCTAAAATAACAAGAAAACAATTTGGAAGGTTGCAAACGTGCAAAGAACTTTTTACCAAGCAGCTAATATAAATACTGGGACATTATCATATGCAAATGACCTAAAATATTTCAAGAATGCCACCTTTTCATGGTATAATTTTGGTGCTCAGTCGATAATCATCAGTATTTTTATGATATTCTACTTTTCATGGATATGGCCCCTGGTACAGTAGTATTATTGCAGCATTGTTTTATCATGCCGCGCTATACCACCGATTTCATCACTTTATATCTGCTACAGATCTTCAAAGTCATACCTCATAAACTTCATTAACAAGGAACCTGTCCAAATATGCCATTTCTATTTGGGCAGAATCTGTTGCATTAAGTACAATGTTAAAATTTCAGATAATAAACTGTGAAAAATTTACTCTTATAACTGATTAGTTTTTGAGAAATCAGCATCTAAAAATATAACCATAAAGTAGAGATATCCAATCCTACTAGAAAAATACTGGATTCCCCGAAAAACACTCATGGAGCGTATACAGGACAAAAATGTAAGGGTTCCCCTAATCGACAGCCCGACAATTAGGAATTTCTGTACACGTTATGTCAAAGTTGATAAACTTTATGAAGAGTTAGACATACAACACTTTCTGAGATAAAAATGATGGAAAAAGACGCGGGTAGTGGATAATCCGAGATTTAAATTAGGATTCGATATTTGTAATAAATAGTAAGCGATTAAAGACAACATCGTCTTATGTATGCAATGAATTCTCCTCTGACTTCCAAGAGAGGTAAGTCACTTGACGTAAACATGACCTGGTTTGATTGAATTTTTATAGCAGGGCATTCCTTCGCAATTACATTGTTTGAGAAGGATTTGAAGCAAAATTATGACAAATTAATTAATTTGAATATGTTTTGAGTCCATATATACCATTAAATCACCCAGTTTGTACGCGGGAATGTATATTTTAGTTTAAAGATGCATTGTGGAAGAATCAGATAAAGAGCTGATCGTTCTTGGTATAATAGTTAAAAACTAGATATTGAAAAGGGAATATCTTAAAAATTACAGTCAAATTACTTCCTTCTGAGCTATGTTAGGGCTGCCAAAGAATCTCGATTTTCATTGCTACGGTTGTAAACAAAGTCTCCATTATCCATTTTTCAATTAAATCATAAACCACTAATCATGTTTAAATCTGTTGAAAATCTCAAGCATCCGATGGCATTGAGAGTTGATTATGGCCTTGGTATGCCTAATTAATAATTTATATCACATTTAAAGATGCATTATGGGAGATCAGATAAAGAGCTGACAGTTCTCACTACAATAGTTAAAAACTAGATAATGTAAAGGGAATTTGCTGAAACTTTCTGTCAAATTGTCCCATTCTGAACCGAGATATATTTAGGCCTAGCCTCGATCATCATTACGAAATTCGTTACGATAAAAAAACACAGTCTTGATTATCCACGTTCGGATTTAATCATCAATGAGCGTTGTGCAGCAAATTGAATTCAAATCCAGTGAAAATCTGACACATAAGATGACATCGAGAGTTCATTAAGGTCTTTTTATGTTAATAAATGTGTAATTAATAATTTATATAACATTTCAGGCCTAAAAAAAAGACCAGCAATAGACATATTTAACTCTTGCATAATGTATGTTTAAGTTCTAAAGATAGACCTGCAATAGACAGATTTAGCCCTTGCATAATGCATCTTTAAGTTCTCGTAAATAAAACCCCTGGATTCATTTTAAAACTTACCGTACACAGTACTGAAAATGATCAAGATAATTAGCCAATACAAAGAAGTGATATTCATCCCATACTTCTTTATCTAAGTTTGCATCACTATTCTGAAAGTACTGCAATGTACTCATGATAGTACAGTCTGTATAGTCGGGTGCTAATGGTTGAAAACAGATATCATTTAATGTTATGGTCTCATTTTCAAATTCAGTTGTCAGTGCACTAATCTCATTCTGTAATCCTAAAAGCTGAAAAATAAAGCATAAAGTTTCCTGAGAGACATTGAGCTATTAGAAACGATTTATTTATTATGTGAGAGAAAGAAAAGCTGTTTAACATCCATGGCATTAACCCAGATGGGCTTGTTTTGAATCCAAGCAGGGACATTATCTAGCATTGGTTATGATTTTGTTTTTCTTCTTGCAATTATTTTATAGCCTGTCACAGCGGCTCCCGACAATAGTCAAGAAGCTAATTAAACCTGGTTTACTCCCCTGCTCAAGCACGGTTTTAACCTCAGATGCACTATATTACGAGTGGGTTCCTCTTTTGACAGAAGAGCCAGCAATTGTCAGTATAGCCGACAAATGGCCTCCTTCACAGCAAAAAGACTTTGCTGAAATTAATATGTGAATAACATTTTAAATTTCAATGCCGATGAGTATACTATGAGTGGGGAGTCTTTCTTCTGATGAAGATGTTTGTCAAAGTAAAGACACAAAAGAGGAAGACTTCTCTGGAGGAAATTGTTTGTCTGCTTTTGTACAGTCGTGTACACCACCACTACATTATGTAGATTTCTGGCAATATAGACCTATATGTGATTTAGTCAAAATTAGTTACCATGGCAACTCAAATGTGAATATTATTGTATATATTATTTCTACTTTTCAAATATTTAATTTCTTTGTTAATAAAAACTTGTTACTGCTGATTTTTATAGTTGTGTCATCTACAGCAGAAATGTCAATTTCTCGTTTTCATAAGACTATTACATTTTTTGACTGGTCCCCATTATTATCACAATTTGGTGACTTTCCCCCAAAAGCTATACAAAAGAGATATCTATCATGCTAATAATCCATTTAGCATTATTCCAGCATATCTTGAATTTTTTAATGGATTGGCAAGAATATACCCAATATTTCATTTATAACAATAATATGGCAGACATTTTGAAACCCACTGGTAAGCTAATTTACAAATATGCAAAAATCATAAGTCATATATAATGGATAAACATCTGCAATTTTACACCTGTGGTCGCATTTACATTCAAGCTATGTATGATTTTTAAGAACAGAGTATAGAGCTTATTTTTACTAAATATTTTCATAGCCGTCCATTGGTATGAAGTGGTTAGCTAAGGAAGGGTTAATTAAATGTTTAATAATCAATCTGAATACATATTAACTGAATTACGCAGTGAGATATGATATTCAAGCAAAAAATACAAATGACGATCATTACTTTAATACAATAATATTTCCATCTTCAAAACAAAAACTAGAAGAAAGTAGAAGTATATTAAATCAACTGCTAGTTTTCAAGAATTGGTGGAACATATAACTTACCTGATGCATAAAGTCCAATTCAAATATAGGATTAAAATAAATATTCCCAGTAGCTGGAGCAACGTTTGGGTGTTTTATAGGAGAATGATTACCAGTACGAGTTATTATCAACTGTTCTGTTCTATAAAACGGTCTACAATAGGAAAACAGGTATAAAATGATAATAGCTTATTTAATATCAGTAGTGTCATGTGCAACTCAATTTCGAATTCATAAGAGTATTTGAATAATGGGAATACATCACGATTTTAAAAGTTATTGAAAAACTAAAAGGCTGGCTGCAACAAAGGATCTCAAATCGAAAATTACCACCACCAATGACTTGCAGCTGTACGAACAGCTTATTTAATATCAGTAGTGTCATGTGCAACTCAATTTCGAATTCATAAGAGTATTTGAATAATGGGAATACATCACGATTTTAAAAGTTATTGAAAACCTAAAAGGCTGGTTGCAACAAAGAATCTCAAATCGAAAATTACCACCACCAATGACTTGCAGCTGTACGAACATTGCAAAGGATGTCGGTCATTGCAACTTGAAATCATGTGACAGAAGAGACAACTCTGATTGATATAATGCACAAAACTTGTAACTTGTTAAAGGCATGGCTTGAAATGTTTGCCACTCTACTTGTCGTGCTAATAAAAGCTACAAATATTAGATTGCATGTTCTGCTAGAGAGAGAGAAATGGGGGTTTACCATCTACTCGACACAAACTAAGTCATTTCGGGACTAACACATGGTTCAATTCCATTTCAATTATTTGCTTGCGCTTAGGGGGTCTTTAGCAGTGGGAGGAAACCGGAGGACTTGGGGAAAACCCACAACGTTGGACAGGCAACCTTTCTCTTTGTCACATACAAATGAAATGAAATGAAATGGGGTTTAACGTCCTACTGTTCTGCTCCTAACCTGGGCTAATGAAGAAGGGCATACGCCATACAGTGTGCTATGAGGGAAATTTTGCCCGGACAGCAGCACTACGGCCTACTCTTATATCGAATTCCAACTGCCAAGGGATCTTTTACGTGCACGCCAATGTGTACACAGGATCTCGGTTTTTCGTCCCATCCGAACGACTAGACAGCTTTCCTTGTCAGCCCCTCCGTCCTGCATCACTGACAAGGGAGAACCACGCTGGAAAATCTGGATGAACTTTCTCGGCCAATGCAGGGATCGAACACCCGACCTCCAGGCTAGCGAGCTAGCGTCTTACCAACTTAGCCACGTGATCCCCCTTGTCACCTACAACCGGGGAATCAAAACCACACCAGTTGACTCAATGACAGACCATCCACCCCCATGCATGTTCTGCTAACAAAGGCCATAAATATTAGATTTCATGTCCTGCTAACAAAAACTATGGATACTTACACAAAATGTGAATCAAAGTATTGTTTTTCTTCTCTTGCTCGACTATCAGGTGCTGACCAGAGTTCAACAGGATCTGTGGTAACATCAAATAAGGTAATACCAGCTGATAGTAAAATACTAAATAGTAACGATAACCCTATCACTAATATCGGTCGTCTTGAGCAAAAACAACCCCATCTGCAAAATATAATAAAACATTAATAAAAGTACACTTTAAAGATATTTGATATAAATGTCCTGATGTTTGTACAAATTCTTTCTAAAGAGTTCAACTAAAATATCAGTTATTGGCAGTTGAGTCTGTGATTGGACTTTTGATATCTAGGTGACTTTATGCATTTATATTATTTGGAGAATTACCTGGATTATGGTATTGTTTCTATGCTTGTTTTTTTTTGTTTTTTTTTTTAACATAAGCCAAGGGTTGTATGAAGCACTATTAGTTCCCGCTAAATCATATTTTAACAGTTTTGAATTTCTCATGATTATTTGTAAATATTAATATCTTAAAGATACATTATGGGAGATTAGATAAAGAACTGGCAGTTCTCACTATAATAGTTTAAAAACTAGATAATGTAAAGGGAATTTGCTGAAAATTTCAGTCAAATTGATCCACTCTGAACCAGATTTTAGTGATTGAATTATCGGCCTAGCCTCGATCATCATTACTAAAGTCAATACGATAAAAAACATAGTCTCGATTATCCATTTCATGATTAAATCATGAATAGAAGTCAAGCAGCAAATCGGAACCTAATCCAATAAACATCGCAGGATAGCGATGACATTGAGAGTTGATTAGGGTCTGGATAAGTTAAATGATGCCTAATTAATAATTTAGATAATATTTCAGGCCTAAAGAAAGACCTGCAATAGGCAGATTTAGCTCTGGCATAATGTATGAAAAATTCAAAGTAATTAACATTTGACAACCATGTATTTATTATCAGTATTTTTTTTAACTTGATACTGAAGTCTAACTGTTAATATATACAATGACACCTACATCTGGTCCTTGAAACATGACACAACTTTCTTTGTTGGTTTCAAAGTTTCAACAAACCTGTTAAATAATCGTTCTATTGCCATCTCCATCTTGGCACCAAACTTCTCAAAGACTCCCAAATCCTTTTCTGTCAGATTATCAAAATCTGCCTTCTTTTTTTTCTTTTTTAGTCCTTTGTTTGTATTGTATCCATACACCTCACAGCAATCTCCACCACCTGTTTCCTCCCAATCATTATCCAATGACAGCGAGTCTTGTACAATGATGTTATAGCATATAGCATAGGTGCCAAAAAATATTGTAAAAGCGATGAAAATTGACCCCATAATAAACATGTAGCCATCGATATGCAGAATTTGCCATGGAGGAGGTGTTGGCGGAGGAGGAAGACTTGGTGTGCACACATCACGACAATCCTAGAAAAATACATTAAACAATATAAATCAGGGTTGGCATTTGGCAGAAGATTTCATTAGTCACTTTCCGAGTCCTGTCAGCTTACAAATTAGTGAAGAAATTGTCAGCATTAAAAAAAAAGAAAATCATTATTGCATTTTTAACCCTATATGCTCACATAAACATTTTGTCAAGAATGACACCTGTTGCACATAAACAGATACAGATTCATTGTGCTGTTATGGAAGTGTAAATATTGTTTTCAAATGATGAGTTTTATTACAACAGACTAAATGATCTAGTTCTATTACAACAGACTAAATGATTTAGTTCTGTTATTAAAGACTAATGATGTGTTCTATTACAATAGACTAAATAAGGAGTTCTATTATAGACGAAATGATGAGTTCTGTTATAGACTAAATTTAATGATAAGTTCTGTTATAATAGACTAAATGATGAGTTCTATTATAATAGACAAAATGGTGAGTTCTGTTATAGACTAAATGCTGGGTTCTGTTATAATAGACTAAATGATGAGTTCTATTATAATAGACAAAATGGTGAGTTCTGTTATAGACTAAATGGTGAGTTCTGTTATAATAGACTAAATGATGAGTTCTATTATAACAGTTCAAAAGTAGATGATGAAAGAAGAATATATTGAAAAATTCAGTCAAATTACTTTATTCTGAACATAGTTATCATCGTTGTAATATTTGCCTAGAAATGGTAGCGAATTGTGTGTTCACCTTCGCTGATCGTTTGATTGACAGGCGTTAACTCCACCTACATATCTCGATTATCAAGTAAAGTTTTCAATGGCATACGGAAACACTTTACAGCGGCCTCGCTAAATACACTCTATCATTTAGCCTCGATCTAACAGACGTATTTTCATCAGGTTACCCCTTATCTGATTTAATCAATTAGTGAAATCCTATTTAAATCCGAGCTGTAGCCGAGCCATCCGTGGGTCTACAGAGTTGATTTTGGTCTTGTTGTTTAAATAAAGATCTAATTTATAATTTCTATAACATCTGAAGCCTAAATTAAGACTTGCAATAATCAGATTTAGCTCTTGCATAATGCATGTTTAATAATGAGTTATGTTATAATAGATTATATGATAAGAATTGTTATAATAGATTAAATCAGCTCTTTACATTGTATAGTAAGATGATATAATGATAAACTTGTCAGATGTGAAGTAAAACCATGTCTGGTTAATTTAAAATACAGAACATAAAAAGATAAAAAAACCCAATAAATTGAAACACCTCTCATTTTAATCTTATTGTCTCTCGTGAAAAATTTCTAATATTTGAGATAATTTTTTTGTAAATGAACTGACAATATAATTGTATTAACATACCTGACAACTGCATGGACTCGAACCATTTTTTAGGGGAACCGTACAAGGTGTTATAGGTCGTTTCAATGGATTTAACGTCATGTTCCCCCTCTTTACTGGTTCATCAGTGATGTCAAAATAAATGTTAAATGGTGCTTGACCATTAGTGGTACTGCCCATATAAGCAAGCCAGACATCCACAGTGCAGTCTTTAGCATCTCTTCCACACAGTACACCAAGAGCCCGTTGATTGGCTGACGGAATCTGGACATCACGGCAAGAGTTAAACAAGCCGTGAGCAAATTCAACAGAAATGGTATAGTTAATGGCAGTAATTTTGTCAGTATTATTTTGGAAAACACCTGAAAAACATGAAAAGAATACGCAAGTTTGATTGACACTAATAGTAAGTGCAGGGGGACTGCACCACACAAAATTTACACAAAAACAAATACACGGACAAGACATCAAAATCAGAAAAACACAAACAGACAAACAATTCAAAAAAAGTGAATGGATCCGGGGGCTAGCCGTAAGCGTCCACTGCGCTGTACAGTCCCAGATCTGTAGTGACACAGACTTCACTCAAATTTGAAAACAAAAAAAAGAATGCAACCCAAAGAAACCAGTGTGTAATGCTAGCATGAGTCATGATTTCCTATATGCCACAAGAAATACGAATGCAAGCATATGTAGTAAAATTCAACTATACAAGTAACCACATCGGTGAAATGTACAAAATAGTCTAAATATAAATCAGTCAAGAAACGTTTCAGTATTCAATGGAATAAGATATTTATTCTTATTCGATCAGATTTCTTGTCATTTCTCTTGCCATTATTAAAAACAAGCCAGCAGTAAGGCTGATGCTCTCCCATCTCAATCCCAAAATAAATAGATCCGACACATTATTTAATACTACCATAATTATCTTTTTGTAAAGCAATCAACCTTAGCCTAAGCAGTAAATGCTTTTTATGTAATGAAACATCAAACATAACACCAAATTTCATCACTCTCAGAATCAAAATTATTGTTTCCAAAAGCATCAACCAGTCAAATAGCTTATCTCTGCATAAGTATTTACCTAATGACCATCTACAACAAGGGGGGTTGGATGGCCGAATGGTTAGCATGTGCATGCTGTATCATAAGGTCTGTCATTGAGTCAACTGGCATGGTTTCGATTCCGCGGTTGTATGTGACAAGAAGTGAGTCGCCTGTCCAACCTCGTGGATTTTTCTTGGTCATCTGGTTTCCTACAGACCCCTACGTTCAAGCGAATTATTGAAATAAAATTGAACCATGTGTTAGTCCCAAAATGACCTAGTTTGTGTCGAGTGGACGTTAAATACCATTTCTCTCTCTCTCTCATCTACAACAAAAATTAAATCATTTACAACTTTACCCAAATATCACTTCAGATCAACGTAATTCAACTTACTAAGAAAGTCACTTTGATGTGGATCACATGTAGAAAAGCAGTACATATTGACAAAATTCTGAAAACATGATGGACAGCGTGACAAGATCTGTAACGGTACTGCCATGTTTTCTTGTAGATACTTTAATTGGGGCGTCGAGCAGCATGTTTTGGAATCTTCTCCTGAAAATTTGAAAAAACATCACAATTTAATCATGTTTAATATTTTTACTGAAATGTTACCAAAATTATCAATTAGAGATAAATTAACTTATCCAGACCATAATCAATTCTCGATGTCATCGCTAGCCTGCGATGTTTATTGGATTAGGTTCCGATTTCCTGTTCAACTTCCATTGATAATTTAATCATGAAATGGATAATCAAGACTATTTTTTTTCCGTACCGACTTTAGTAATGATGATCAAGGCTAGGCCTAAAATTCAATCGCTAAAATCTTGTTTAAGAGTGGATCAATCTAACTGAAATTTTCAGCAAATTCCCTTTACATTATCTAGTTTTTAACTATTATTGTGAGAACTGCCAGCTCTTTATCCAATCTCCTATAATGTACATGTATCTTTAAGTCAAGTTGTATTAAAGTCATTCAAAGTATTCTCTTACAAATTACAATATTGTGAAAATTGAATCCCTAACAGGAAAATCAGTTGAAAGTTGGTTCAATTCCATTCTATGTTTACAGAGATATGTTGCAGGCCTGGAAATAACGGTTTTAGATGTACCTGACATTTTCAACTTAGTGCCGGACATGTATCAATAAAATCAATAAAATCAAATGCCGGACAAAATGACAGGCACCAGAGGTTTTGTGCCTGACAAAGCCTGAATCTGTGCCTGAGATTGTCTGTGACAGGTGCCTTATTTCCAGGCTGTGTTAAATCAATGAGTAGGCTAAAATATGTTGATGAGCCTCTTTTTAATTGGATTAAATCCCAGCTGGGAATTTATCTACGATTTATATTTTGGTTTTGTTTTCCTGATTAATTATAAAATAAGCAATTTGAATACATTTTAGTATGGTTCAAGCCAAGAACAAGAAAAATACACAATTTGGACTGGCAACTTTAAAGAAGAAACCATTGACAGTTGTGGAAATGGCTTATAATTAATTGACGTCTTATTATAATCTAGAATTGAAATTCAATAAAAATAATCTGACACCAGTTATTTTTAAATACCAACGACATTTATATGTCATATTTAGAGATCATATTATAATCTAGTTATTTCCTCATAAATTAATTGAAATTCAAAAAAATAATCTGACACCAGTTATTTTTAAATACCAACCACATTATTATATGTCTACGGAATTTCTTTTTTTCTACAGTAAACATTTCTCTTTTATTTCTAATTTTTAAACTAAAATATGACTTGACTAAATAAACAAAATGGTGTATGTTATGTCAATACACAAAGGTAATTATGTCAACAACGTTGGTTTAAAGATGGAATTTTAGTTTTTGAGAGAAAAGCTGTACTATCTCAGTGTCAAAAATAACATTTTATTTTAGTTTTGCTGCGTAATCTTCTGTTATAAAAAGGAAACTTAATCATAAATGTAAATAATTACAAACAAGCTATTTCTAAAATAAATCTCTTAGTCAGAACGAGACAGTGTTCCTCTCTCCAAGAAAATAAATTTAATTAATATTTCAAAATAACAACTGACTCGCTGATTTCTTGAAGAGGACATGTTTATATGTATATAAAACTCTGAGATCAGTCATGTCATCTTAGCGACAATTATCTTTAAAATATTTAGGGAGACTTCCTACAGTACAATGTATAATAATATTTATATCTGACATTCTTTACTGAGTGAAACATTTGATGAGCCTTTGTTAAGACAATTTATCTAGATATAGAACTTAGGAGAACATGGACAATATTTTTTTTCAAAATAGGAACAGATATAATAATAATTTAAATCTTTCCCTTATCTCCACACAGTAGAACAAATGCTACTTTTAGCCTTGTAGATGGTCAAAAAAAAGATTCCCTTGAAGTTTCTCAATATAAATCAAAGGTAATGTACGTATGTATTTAGAGTCAAGGAAATTAGTTTAAAAGGATGTTCACTTTACACCAAAAAACACCATGCAAAATCTTTCATAATAAGTGTATTTTGGTTACTTCCAGCATCTCTGTGTTTTCTCCATGATAGCAGAAAATCACCAGAAAATGACATTAACATTTTACCACAATTAAGTGTCTGCATCAGAGATTTTTTCGACTGAAAAGGTTAGAATTTCTAATGATGAAAAACAAATTGTGTATTTTACCTGTATACAAAGTAGGGCAGAATCTTTTTAAGATATCTAATCCTTTTGTATCATTGAGTCGCTTTGCTGGTCCGTTGTACATACAATTTAAGGGTTTGTTGGTATTTGGATCAATGCCACATGTGTCATACCAGATACAATGGCCTTCATCTTCACCAACATCTTGTTCATCATCATCCACATCAACAAATTGTCCTTCATCAACTACATTTACAGCAACTGCATAACACTGAAATGTGATAAAAGCACATTGTTAACTCCTATAAGTTTTTAAATACATACAAATCACTCCATCTAAACTATACTCTACTGAATATACAACAATGTAATACAGCATCCATCCACTCATCTTACATCTGTGTTACAAATTACAAGTCTGTGAGTATGAAAAGTATATAAACTGTACACTTGTAGGTTGCGATTTTCTTGTCTACGATATCACCATTGGTGAAAGTGAACGTTAAAACTGGAGGGATGAACGAGGTTGCGATTTGTCGGTTGGAAGCAGATGTTCAATCCCACGAACGACCCAAGTTGTGATACTCGCCTTCTATTTTAATAAAAATTTTGAGATCCTGACTGAAAGGAAGAATTTGTTCTCCTTGTATTTTCTTATGGGCGGCAAGGTCTGCGACAGATTTTATGATGATAAAGTCTACAATGTTCGCGAATCAAATTGGGTTTCATTTATGTCCACTCAACTTCTAGACAAGCTTCATTTTAGTTTTACAAAAGGAAACTACACTTTACTGTGACTTAGTATTATACTAATACTATAGCAGATTTGGAAAATGGAGACAAAAACATTTTCAAAATTATTTTCAATCACATTCACAGATCCGATTTTTGATTTTTGAAAAATTTGATGAAAACCTTTGATTCTTTTACGTATTAACATTTTTATGTCACCGGGTACACGTGATTGAGATAAACAATCTAACTTCAGACATTCTACAAAAATGAGCTGATAAAATTATTTTTATCTTGACTTCCCAATATATACACCCGACCCAGAAATTCCCGTTCAGACACGCATCGTAGTAATTTCGGCCCAGTTTTGTCTCTCTTTATCTCAATGAACTTATTCTCATCGACTGATCAGCGATATCCAATGAAATCCGTTTTTGTATCACACGATATTATTATCACCTTTTTACATACTGTCCAATCAATTATCTATACCTTTTTTTTGGGGGGGGGGGGGGCGTGATCTTCAAATGATAATATTACCGGTATCCAAAACATTTGATTATATATTATCAATTATTTGCTGAGTGCTGCTGCACTTCATGTTTTGTATTTTTAAATAAAGGTAATGTACATATCAATATCATGAGCTTTCGTTGGTTTACTGTTTTAAAATTTCTGAGTTTTTGTTGTATGTAGTGCAGTCCTCCTGCATTTACTATTAAAGAGTTAAAATCAGTAACTAGCTTACTGAAAATACTAGTCAATTAATGTAGATTAGTTTGAAATTATGATCTTAAAGAGAATGGTCACACGGTTACCGATAGTTACAATTTAAACTAGGGAGAATATATTATAACTCGGTCGACAGTATTATATTATAAACAGCATATTGAAAACCTAGACATGCTTTCAGGACCACAAAGGCGAAACTGACGGCTCAAATCCTTTTCCTCGCCATTGAAACTAACTTTTGTACAAAAAAATATCATTCTTAATCTGACAGTAAATCTCTGAACTCAAAGGTTGTAGCATCCAATACAGTACAATAAAGTACACTGTAAAAGATTTAGTAATAAATTGGAAACTGACGAATTTGGACTTTGGGGAACAGGGCGGGGGTAGTGACAGACATTCCAGGCGGGATCAAGTCCATCAAAACATGGGAAAACATTTTTGAAAAATGCTCAGACCAATATCTGTCAAAAGTCACTTGAGCCAATCTATTGAGCTTAAGATTGAATAACTACATTTAAAATACAGATGTGACGTCACCCTTTGATGTTGGCGTACCATTATTTCAAATAATCGTACGGGCAACTTGCCAATCGTACCTTGTCAAATATTAGACTCGAGTGACGTATTTCACTGTAAACGCACGTGCGGAGTGTCTGTATTTTAAGATGTTTAATGGTCTCGAGCTGAGACATTGCGTAATATATTGTAAAAACACTCGGACCTGACGGTCCTCTTGTTGTTACAATATATTACTTAATGTCTTGCTCTCGACCATTAAACAACACGTAATGTATGTCTCTTAGATCAAAATTAATGCCTTTTCTGTTCATTTCAAATTATTCTAAGTAATAAATTATAATAATTGTCAGTTAAGTAAGACATAATGTAGATAAAGAACTTATTTATTTCTATTATCAAAAGATAGTAAAAACGTACGATTTTCACATGATGTCAGAAGGTAGTCTGATTTTTATCGGCCAATAACAAGCTGTGAATTTTGTTGTGAAAGTTATCACTTCATATCAAAATGACAGATATGTTTTACATTTTTGCAGGACTAGTTTTGCCTGTTTTCAAAGTAAAAGTAGTAAAAGCAACTATTTGAATTCATTAAAATCTGCAGAATTGAATAAGCGAGTTCACAAGTCAATTCTGATACATCCTGACTTAGTCAAAGGCAATCAATTCAAAAATAATTCAATTTCACCAATCCAGTTAAAATTAGAAATCACTCGTTATCTTATGGATACAAAGTTCACAAGTCAATTCTAATACATTCTGACTTAGTCAAAGGCAATCAATTCAAAAATAATTCAATTTCACCAATCCAGTTAACATTAGAAATCACTCATTATCTCATGGATACAAAGTCATATATTTAAAGCAAGCTGACTCTATTGTATTCACAGGCTACTTTTTTTAAGGCCAATAACTATGCAATTGATAATGCATACAGCTAATTGCATAAATGGATATGTAAATCCCTGGCACCAACTGAGTGTAAAGTGTAATCATTAAATAAATCTAATCACATAAATTGAAATATCATTTACTGATAAACAAAGCAGGAGACCTGCACACAAAAATAAAGATAGAAAATGCCATACAATAACATACAGTATACCATACGTAGCTGTCATCAATCAAATGGACTCAAATATTTGTTTTTTGTTCAAATATTCAATGTTTGATTCAGGTTTTTTGTTTGCTATTTCAAATTTCTAGAAATACATGTAGTAGATCTCTCAAATCAATCCCTCAACTATTTTTGAAAATTAATTGACATTGAATAACAAATTATTGCCATACATCCGTTTAAACAAAATACATGTATCCTTGAAAAACTATTCCAATCCAATCATGTGAGAATTACATGTAGCATTTAAAAACATGCAAGCTTACTCATTAGATACATTGTCAATGATGCAGATTATAAAATAAATCAGAAAAGAATGAAAAATATTTAGTGGTCCAAAGGTGTTCACAAAGTTCACAATACTATAATAAGATTATTAATAAGTAAGTACAACGTCGAATGTCACCCCATCATCATTCAAACATCTTATGATAAGATACATGTAACAAAGTCTATAATCAAAATTATGATCTACTTTATAATATGGTACATTCACCCCATCATATTCTACGTCTTTAATCAAATCTGCAATTCCTGTTCACACAAACATACAAAATAGGTACAAGGGTGCTGTGTGACCCAAGAACCAAGCATGACATAATCACAGTCATCTTGGAATTCCAACATCATATCAAAAACCAAAGTCTCCCAATCGATGCAAAATTGTCCTGACAACAAGCATGCCAAGTTTATGTTGATCACACTCGAAGTGACAGAGCCTTCGGCTGATTTTAAAAAGCATTAACCCATGAATATTATCAATTGTGTTCAACCATTTCCTTGTATAAAAATGTTGACGGGTTGGAAGGGGGGGTCAAATGGAAGTGGCCCCAGACCCTCAGATGGTCACGAGAGCTTTAAACAGAACAAGGACAGACCACGGCCCCATGACAGACCACGGCCCCATGGCGTGAAGGCCTGGGCAGGAGGCTTATAGTTTTTAATACAACAATCTTTTTAAAAAATGTTGAATGACAATCCGATTCTAATCCTACCCACACGCCACACTACATGTAGGTACCACATTCAGAAAGTCACTGGTTTTTGTCTACTTTACGATTAAGCAACGGTATACTTTTATTATCTTATCAATTTATACCAACAATTTCTTTATAAAATTACCTAGCATACATTCGGGCCCATCTTGGCTCCCAGCTCCTGGACAAGTGTCCCAGCTGTCCTTCTTTCTAAATGGCCCTGCGTCCTTGTATTTGTTGTGCAGTTATCCTGTGTTATCTATTATTACTAATTATTACATGTAGGTCACAATTAACATTATAGAAATAAGCTTATAACTTCAATTATTTAGATTCCATTTACATAGAGTAGTTTCAAAGTTCACTGTCAATAAGTACTTCAAAACCGCATGCATCATATTATCAAGCTGATTTTATCAATTTATAATTATGCAAAGTATTTCCTGAACAACTAAAAATATATCAAGTTCTTCCTTCAAATATATATAATGCAGTTTTATGTTCTTCTTTACATGTATAATGAAAGATAAATAAATTTCTTTTCGTTTACTACATGTACAATAATTATATAAGCTAAAAGCTTACAATTATTTTTCTTCAAGCAGGGAAAAATTGGCAAATGACATAAGAGCAAAGGTTTTTCAATAGAACAACTTTAAAATTATCTACAATGACATTTACTGTATTTGGAATGTAAGATTTGATTTTAATAGCTTATCTAATACAATTTTATCCCTTGTATATTTTATTTTTTATAAATCACTGTTCATCCTAGTCCATACTTACTTGTATAAACTATTTAGTACCGTCTAAACTAAATCGTTGTAAATTTTAAAAGGATTTCTTCGATTATGAACAAACTACCGGTCCGGTACTTAAAAATAATAACCGTTATTAAGAACTTGCCTATATGTGTTTGAAATCAACTGAGCCAGTTAAATAAAATTCATTGCACAATTAGACATCTCAATAAATAAAAAAGTTCTATCTTGCAAAATAAGAGTTAATCGAACTCCTCACAAACTTTGATGTCAAGAAATACAAAAATGGAAGCTAAAATCACGCCACTTATCAGGAAAGATCTTTTCGTAGAATGGGGTTGCAGCAATGTGTTTACACACATATATGCGACCGTAGTCCGTTATTTTGTTCCCATCTTGTTTTAATTATTTGATTTGAGAGTTGGGTGGGATGATAATCTTTTGAAAACAGTTGCTTGAACAAAAAGCGACATTTGTTTTACAGGCCTTGATTTTCACCCTTGAATATCTATATATTTCTTGACAGGACTGCATAAGCAGTCCGGTCAATTAACCTAGTGGCATTCTGCTATAGCCAAGGTAAATCTGTAAAATGCTATGTATTTACATTTTCCTCAACAAAAATATAGCCAAGGCCATTGAATACACATTGGTTTAATCATCAACAGATACTTTCATTTCTTTCTATAATCTCTTCTTATATTGAGAAGTGATTTTTTATTAAAGGCTCAATACCACTCTTGATGTAACTGAATATTATGTCCCAATCTTTATTCTGGTCAACAAATTGTACTATTTTACAATATTCCAATTAAATGATGATACAAATTTTATCTTAACGCACCTAATTTAAAAAATTGGAAAAATTCAACTAAATGATTTGAAAAGCCTAACGTAAACCTTTTCAAGTTTCAACTGTGACTTGGATTTTAAAATATTTTCGAACCCTCTGGACAAGTAAAATAGGATTTAAGGATAATTTACACAACAGGCAGGACAATTAAACATCTAATACTTAGAATAAGGCTATTATTTATTTTCTGGAGCTGTCAAGCCAGCAAGAGTGTTTTTGTCCTTTTAAAATACATTTCTATAAAGACGATAAATGATGTTTAGACATCTTGAACTATTCTTATCACGAATGTTTCGATTTCAGTACCTGTTTGATGGTACCAGTACCGGTAGTTAAAATGACTTTGGTGGTAATAGACCCAAAATTTGAATTTTGATCATATTTTAACCAGGATGTGGTTCTAAAAACTCAGTAATCTTCTTTTTGTTTCGGGTGATGTTTTTTTTTTTCTTTTTAAAAGCCCAATACTATATTGACATATCTTTATATAGATGATCAATGTCACACTTCCAAGATGGTTATTTGTTGTTCAATAAAGGAAGTATTAAAATAAAATTTAATTCAAATTAGATGGACAACAAGTCAAGTGGGTGGACAAATTGCTTAGTCTTAGTGTTCGTTCATGACGTTGATGTTTCTAAAAATGTAAAGATGATTGGATGTTGTGATGTTCTACAAGTACATATGTATGTTAAATTGTTTAGCAATTTGGTTCAAAAATATACTTCATTATTTATTAGGCCTACTTTACTTGTCTTTTTATATGCTGTGTCACAGTGTGTGTTATGCTTCGTTTTATTTTATGCAATAAAATGCTATCATTATTGGCATAAGTTTGCTGTCATGAGCCGTCGATAAGCCTACAAGTGTCACATCACCCCCGTCCACATCTAAGTATGACTAGACATGAAATAATGCTTGAATGAATCAGAAATGTTAAATGTATGTGTGAACAAATTTACTGAACCAAAATTTATCGGATAGAACTTGAAATAGGCTTACCTCACTAAAACAGGATACCAGAAAGATTACAGAGATAAATTTGAGCAAATCCATCTCTTTTCTCCTTCCAAACTATCTTAACGACTGGGTGGGTGAATACTGTCGAGATAACCTTTTTAGTTGTAACAAAAGAGCATAATATTTGACAAAAAAAATCTAATCTGAAGTGACGATAGATAGCAGTCGAATAGTTTCACCGGAAGTTGTGTATGGCGTGATCATGTGACGTTCTGACTTGGACTTTGGCCACGCCTTGATCTATACTTATGGAAGCCTGTGGTGGCCATCATTGAAATATATTTCTGCGGTGACAATTTCATCTTCTCGCGACGAGAAGCCGAGATTACAAGATGGTCGCAACTAGCTTCCATATAAAGGCATACTTATAATAACATCTTTATTTCGGTTGAGAGAGAGAGAGGCTTTAATGTCCACTCAACAGAAATTAGGTCATTTCGGGACTAAAACATGGTTCCATTTTATTTCAATAATTTGCTTGCGCGTCTAGGGGTCTTTAGCAGCAGTGGGAGCATGACCTTATGTAGGCCTATTATAAGGTCCATGGTGGGAGGAAACCGAAGGCCACAGAGAAAACCCATGAGGTTGGACAGGGGTCGTCGTTATATGTACAACCGGAGAATCGAAACCACGCCAGTTGACTCAATGACAGACCTTATGATACAGCGTGCACATGCTAACCATTCGACCATCCACACATTTCGGTTGAGACTTAGACCTAGGGCCTTTTTACAAATATGCCCACTAAAAGAGAACATCTGAAGAATTAAATACTTAAAAGCTCAGAGATAAAAAATGTAGGAATATTAATATCAAGGATGAAACAAAAATGTGGAAATATATAATGTATAATAATAATAATAATCATAATACAATTATAATATAATCATAACGCCTAGGCCTACTTACAGGCCCCTAATAAGGGGAAAAAATAATTTCCCCCTGCTCCCACCACTACTTGTCTGTTCCTATTGCTGAGCAATGCAGACGGGCTTACGCCATACATTGTACTATGAGGGAACTTTTGCTCGGGCAGCTGCTCTACACCCACTTATTTCAAATTCCAACTGTCAAGGGTTCTTTTACATGCAGGCCAATATACACAGAACTCACCGGAACTTGTTTTTGAATACTTCCGAAAGGCAGTAGGCCTACTCTATGTCTTTGCCAGGCTTACTGTTCTGCAAAACTGACAAGGGGGAACCGTGCTGCAAAATCTTGAGAAATTTTCTTGGCTAAGACTGGTTGGCAAGCCAGCGTTTTACTCAATGAGGCCACCATGGCTTCCAAATGAAATAGAATAAAACTGACATCAAGTCTTTAGGATTATATAGCAATATGTGGCAACATCTTGCTCAAAAGCATCTGTTATGTTCACCATGTGAATCTTAAGATACACATACACATAAACCAGCCTCTGATAGCTCCTGTTCACTAATAGTGTAAATATGACATACCCTAGCTGTTTGGCCCCAGGTTGGAATGTGGTGTATAAATCCATTCAGCCATACTGGATAACATTATTTAAAGATGCATAATGTAAGAGCTAGAATTTGCCATACTTATGACACTCGACAATTCAGACTATCTTATCAAATCTTCAAAAATACACGACCTCGCTCAGAATAAAGTATTTTGAACTATTATAGCAGGAATGGCCAGGTCTGTATCTAAATCTTACATAATGCACCTTTAAGGGTTATTAAAGATAGTATATACATATATAAGCCTATATATGGTGTTGTTATGTTTGCTGGGTGGGCACTTGGTCTAATACCAACATTATACTACCACTTAGAGATACATTATGTAAGATTTAGATAAAGAGCTAGCCATTCTTGCTATAATAGTTCGAAAATAGATAATGTACAAGAGCATCGCTAACGCAGCAATATACGTCCACATTCCTGTTTTGTTTGATATGGTCCAGTTTGCATTGAGGGTCTGTGAAATAAAACTGGGTTGTAGGACTGCTATCAGTATAACATTTCGTTCACATTAACAGAACACAATTTTTATTTTAAAACAATCGATGTCTTTATTCTAAAAGCATGACGTTTTTTTTTGTTTTTTTTTGCTTGATTGATAACGATAAGAGAATACTTGTGGAAACGTCGTGCTTTTAGAATAAACTAGTGATTGTATCCCATAAAAACTGTGTTCTGTTAATTTGTTCCCTGATCGCTAAATGCCACTTAAAGAATAACTAGAAATGGGCGTGGCTCTGCCCCTGGGGGTCGGGCATGCACCAAAAACAATAGGGATCTTCCTTGGGGTATAAGGAATAAGTATACCAAGTTTGAAGAAAATCCAGTAAGAATTGCGCCCTGTAGGCGACACAAAGACACACGAAAAGAAAATGGGCGTGGCTCTGCCCCTGGGGGTTGGGCATGCACCCCAAACGATAGGGATGTTCCTTAGGGTACAAAGAATGTGTATGCAAAGTTTCAAGATTATTAGTTAAGAAATGTGGCCTGTAGACGACAAACAAACAAATACTAGAAATGGGCGTGGCTCTGCCCCGGGGGGTCGGGCATGCACCAAAAACAATAGGGATCTTCCTTGGGGTATAAGGAATAAGTATACCAAGTTTGAAGAAAATCCATGAAGAATTGCGCCCTGTAGGCGAACCACAGACACACACACACACACACACACACACACACATACATACATACACACACACACACACACAGACTGCTTGATTGATAACGATAAGAGAATACTTGTGGAAACGTCGTGCTTTTAGAATAAACTAGTGATTGTATCCCATAAAAACTGTGTTCTGTTAATTTGTTCCCTGATCGCTAAATGCCACTTAAAGAATAACTAGAAATGGGCGTGGCTCTGCCCCTGGGGGTCGGGCATGCACCAAAAACAATAGGGATCTTCCTTGGGGTATAAGGAATAAGTATACCAAGTTTGAAGAAAATCCAGTAAGAATTGCGCCCTGTAGGCGACACAAAGACACACGAAAAGAAAATGGGCGTGGCTCTGCCCCTGGGGGTTGGGCATGCACCCCAAACGATAGGGATGTTCCTTAGGGTACAAAGAATGTGTATGCAAAGTTTCAAGATTATTAGTTAAGAAATGTGGCCTGTAGACGACAAACAAACAAATACTAGAAATGGGCGTGGCTCTGCCCCGGGGGGTCGGGCATGCACCAAAAACAATAGGGATCTTCCTTGGGGTATAAGGAATAAGTATACCAAGTTTGAAGAAAATCCATGAAGAATTGCGCCCTGTAGGCGAACCACAGACACACACACACACACACACACACACACACACACACACACAGACAGGGGCGACGGCATAATACGTTCACATTATGAATGTGGACGTATAAAAATGAATAATTTGAAAATTTCATTGAAATTACTCTATTGCGAGTGAAGATATTAGCCTTTGAAGGTTTGACAAGTAGTGTGCAATAATTTCAACCACCACACCGTACAAGTTGTTCAAAGCTAAGTCTTGCTCCTCCACTTTTAGCTTAAATCAAAATATGACTGAACTGTTCTAATCTATTTAATATCGGAGAAATCTGATGTCATCGAGAGTTGATATGGCCTGGATAAGTTAATTAATATTTAATTAATAATTTAGATAACATTTCAGGCCTAAAGAAAGACCTGCAATAGGCAGATTTACCTCTTGCATAATGTATATTTAAGGTGTATATTTTCAGTATTATCTATCACAGGTTTTGAAATAAATTTTAAAACGTAATTGTTTGATAAACAACCTTTTTTTATTCATTATTTACAATTCAGCTCTCACAAACTATTGTCATAAACATCAAATGATAAACTTAAAGGAGAAGTTATATTCTTATTAATTGAAGGCAGGTTTTGTGTTGTTGAACCCATTTTAATACTAAATATCAAAGAACAAAATATGAACATCTGCAACAGCTAAACATCTCCTTTAAATATAATAAATACAGACACAGTACATGTAAATAAAATTAAATAAGCTTGATCTAAATAAATTAAACACAGATACAAAACATTTACAATTTATAATCCAGGAAATTATGAATGGATTAACCATTAGAGTAACAAGAACATAATTCATCCTAGGGTATTCAAAATTTAACATGAACTCAAAGTTCATATTTATAAATATCTACTGTAAATGTGGTCCAGCTGTAAGACACAAGATTTAAATATTAAGTAATCCTATTCTACAAATGCATTTTATGAAGGAACAAATTCCAATGTATTAAATTTAAAATTCATTAGAAATTGAATGTAACCAGACCAGATTATGTATATGGAATCAAAGAATTTGAGATCAAAATGTCCCTTTTAATAATGGATTTTATTGCATCAACAATTTGAGATTAAAACATCCCTTTTAATATAACATATATTATTGTATCAACAATTTAGGATTAAAATGTCTCTTTCCTTAAAGTGTGTAACTTACAGGTTTTCTCAATAAATACCATATCTCAATGCCATGTAAATTTGGTTTAAAATTAATAAAGTCTTCAAAAGTTATCAGCAAAAGAAATTATTAATGTCAATTTGACATTAAATCAGCCTTGAGCACACTTGAAAGTGTTTATGTTCTGTTTAGATAATCAAAGCTGTGTCATATCTAACTTTAAGACAAAAAACAAAGGGAGATAATTTCTAGATATGAGACTTATTGTCAAATTGCTTGTAAATAAACAGTCAACACCAGGGGTGTCAAACTCATTTCAATTCACAGGTCACATGAACTAAAATTTGCCATCAAGTGAGCTGGAGATATACAAAAATATCAAGATAAAGCCAAACGTCCTTGAACTTGGCTGAATTCTAAAAACAATCTGGCCCATATGTTCTCCCCTGGTCTAGAAATTAGTCTGAAAAACATACAAATTATTATTCTTCAATGTTGTTCACAATGTTAGTTTTTGTCTCAATAGTAAATTGCAAAAAAAGCTTTAATAAACAATAAAGCAAAAATGTAATATTTGAAATGACAAACCAATGTATAACAGTAATAAAATGGGCAGGTATAAAATTGTGCAGTTTATACTTTCAAACCTCTGCAAAAGGACAGATAGTTTATACTTTTAGACAACTGTATGGATCATTATATAATTTCTACTTAAGGTAAATGGATTAAAACAGGGGATCATTTTATAATTTTTACTTACAGTAAACAGATTGAAACAGGAATCATTTTACAATTTATACTTTTAAGACAACTGGACACAGACCATAACCAAAGACAAAGGGAACAAACAAAAAATTATTTTGAAATTGCAAACACAGATTATTTTTTTTATTTATATCCAAGATAATGGGACGGAAACACTGATCATTTTATGATTTATACTTTAAACAACTTGATGGAAACACAGATAATTTCATAATCTTTAAGTAAGGAAACAGGTAAGACGCATAAATCAAAATTTATGCTTAAGAAAAAAAGACGTACGTATTCATTCATTCACACTTAACATAATTGGTTGGAAACATAGATTATTTTATAATGCATAACTAGACAGAAGCATTATTTAATAATTTAAACTTAAAACAACTAGAAAACAGGAAAGGAGTATTTATACTTAAGACAACTGGACGGAAACATAGATTATTTTATAATGTATAACTGGACGGAAACATTATTTAATAATTTAAACTTAAGACAACTAGAAAACAGGACAGTTATACTTAAGACAACTGGACGGAAACATAGATTAATTTATAATGTATAACTAGACAGAAACATTATTTAATAATTTAAACTTAAAACAACTAGATAACAGGACAGTTATACTTAAGAAAACTGGACGGAAACATTATTTATAAACTTTTCAGATCATTCTGAAATTCAAAAAGTGAAATATTGCTGAACAGTTATTCACAATATGTGAAAACTTGGCTGAAATTAAAACACAATTGAAGGAGGTGCATTTCTGTATATTACTTTATGTGAGTCTTGGTTTACACACAATATAAACAAATTTGACCGATTTGCTAAAATAATTGCCATTTTTAAGACTTGGGACACTAAATTCAACGATATTGTACCATTGCTGATGTCACTAACTAACCCATTCTTTGAGTGAAGGTATCGGTGTTATGACGATTCAAGTCCACACAACAGAAACAAGGTCATTGTGGGACTAACATATGTTTCAATTTTATTTCAATAATTTGCTTGCGCATAGGGGTCTTTTCGCAGTTGGAGGAAACCAGAGGAGCCAAAGAAAACTACAAAAGGTTGGATAAGTGGGGAATCAAAACCATGCCACTTGACTCAATGACAGACCTAATGATCACACATTAACCATTCGACCACCCAACCCCCCTATATACAGTAAGTAAGCACATTAATAATACAGTAACTTATAGAACATGTAAATTAAGGTCTGCTCAGAACATCTTGGCAAAATATTTGTTTGTTGTTTTTTTAAAACAAATTTTGACATTTTCAATACATTTCTAACATCAAGTACTGAAAGCCAGTATGTAAAACAAACCATCAAATCAGATTTAATTAAAACAAGCCAACAGTGAGGCTGATGTCCCCCGCCGAAATTGCAAAATAAATAGATGACACATATTAATTAATCGCACATTTATTTTTTTCACTAAGTTTCATCACTCTCTATCAGATAGAATCAAGATTATCTTGTCCCAAACCATCGACAAATGAAATCGATTAGCTCTGCTTAGCTTCAGCTCGAAATGTTAATTATTGAACTCAGTCAAGACATTCACCTAATGAACATCTACATATACATCAAGTTTAAACATTCACCTAATAGACACCTATGCCAAGTTTGAACATTCTACCTCAATTAGAAGGAGAGTTATTGTGTTCCAAAGTTTCTACCAATCAAATTGCTTATCACTCTGCTTACCCTCAGCAAAAAATGTTCATTATCGAACTTAGTTAAGGTATTCATATAATAAATCTATACACCAAGTTTCATCAATCTCACTTAATTAGAACTAAAGTTATCGTGTCCCAAAGCATCAACCAATCAAATTGCTTATCTCTGCTTACCCTAAGCGGAAAATGCTCATCTTCGAACTCCATCAAGGCATTGACCTAATCAACACATACACCAAGTTTGAACATTCTAGCTCAATTAGGAAGAGAGTTATCGTGCCCCAAAGTATCAACCAATCAAATTGCTTATCTCTGCTTACCCTAAGCGGAAAATGCTCATCTTCGAACTCCATCAAGGCATTGACCTAATAAACACATACACCAAGTTTGAACATTCTAGCTCAATTAAAAGTTATCGTGTCCCAAAGCATCAACCAATCAAATTGCTTATCTCTGCTTACCCTAAGCGGAAAATGCTCATCTTCGAACTCCATCAAGGCATTGACCTAATCAACACATACACCAAGTTTGAACATTCTAGCCCAATTAGAAAGAGAGTTATCGTGTCCCAATGCATCAACCAATCAAACTGCTTATCTCTGCTTACCCTAAGCGGAAAATGCTCATCTTCGAACTCCATCAAGGCATTGACCTAATAAACACATACACCAAGTTTGAACATTCTAGCTCAATTAGGAAGAGAGTTATTGTGTCCCAAAAAGTGTGACGGACAGACGGACGGACGGACGGACGGACGGACGGACGGACGGACGGACGGACGGACGGACGGACGGACAGACAGACAGACAGACAGACAGACAGACAGACAGACAGACAGACAGACAGACAGACAGACAGACGAACCCATTTTAATAGTCCCCTGCTTTCTTCGAAAGGCGGGGGACAATAAAAAGTTTTTTTTTTTAACCAAGTCAATGAGATCTAGTCACTTCAAGATAATAATGACGATCCAGCTTGTTTCCCCTTTAAGCAGAACAATTCTATTTTAAAATAAAATCAGAGAAAATAAATCTAATGTTAACAGCGTTTAAGTAATGTTGTTCTTGCAGCTACCAGTAATTTGAAGGCCTCTTCACTCCCCGGTGCCACACTTTTATCAGGGTGTAGTAATACAGCTAATTTACGATATGCTTTATTTACATCGTCCCTGTGAAAATATAGAAAAACACAACAAAAATATAGAACTGAATTAAAAAATTACATGTGTGAGAGGCAGAAGTATTCAAGCTGTTACAACACTATATAGTCTGTACTAGTTTAAGATTTTTCTGGGAAAGAGCGAGAGAGAGAGAGACTACTTGGAAACAATGAGAGAGATGCTAACACATGGTTTATAAGTTTTTGTTCAATAATGTGCATGTGTGTAGGGATCCGTGGAAAGAAACCTGAGGACCTGGAGAAAACCCACAAGGTTAAGCTAGAGGGAGGAAACCTATGGATCTGGAGAAACTCCATTAGGTTAAGCTGGATTTACACCAGTAATCCCCCTGACCCCCATCCCCTCCGATTTATCTCAGGTAAACACAAACAGGGTAGAATTTTGGCAGGTCAGCAACCGAAGTCTGCCATAGCTCAGGCATATGAATGATGAATCTTATAGGAACCTGCATTACTTACTTGCTGGCTCCTACAGATAATCCTAATCTCTCATAATCTGATTTTGAATTCTTTAATCTTTGTATAGCTTCTATTTGATCTTTACTGTAACCTAATTGTGTTACCACAGGGATTTTCTTGCCACCATTTTCAACTGTACTAATAACACCTTCTAATAAAGTCTGAAAATAATTTAGAATAAAATCAACAGGTTAGTTAGAGAGAAATGGGGTTTAATATTCACCCAACACTAACTAGGTCATATTGGGACTGATATGTTATATTGTATTTCAATAACTCACTTTAAGTTATGGGTCTGGGGGTAAACAGGAGCATCCAGAGAAATCACACAAAGTTAGGCAAGGGACACAACTCTTTTTCCTATACAAGTGTGGGATCAAATCCATAATTTCCACATCATATACAGTAAGCTTTCTGGCTATTCAAAAACTCATCACTCTCCCAAGAAGCAGAGGGGAGAAGGCTTAACAGTATTCTATGTCCTCCATACTACAAGCTCAACTATACACAGATTGAACAAATGATACAAGAATACTACACAATTAGAGGAGATATACGAATGAAACAGTAAAGGTAAATAACACTAAAAAACAATTCTGGTCCAAATCAGAAGTGAATCATTGTGACTAATCATATGTTCATTTACTTTCAAGTACTTAGTTTCTTATATGGAAAAAATTATTCTGTGAACTAGCATATTAGCTGAGGCGGAAGTTAAAGGCAAATCCCACAGCAAATAGTGATTATTAGACCATCCATAATCAATTTAATTATTAATATTTTCTTTTCTCCTGGTTCCAAAAACAAGAATAGCAGCACCAGGATGTTTTGTAAACAACATTTTATTCAAAAAATGAAAGGGATTGAGTAACAGGCATAGCCTATATATATAACCTCTGATTGTTTGCCAAATGATCGCTAAATCCCCTGTCGATCTCATATCAAATTTTTAGGAATGATTGTTTGATAACCATAACATTTTTTTTTGTATAGTTTAAGGGGGCCGATTAAACTGCAGTGTCAACTTTACCTTAAATAATTCATTTACACCTTCACCAGTTTGAGCAGATGTCTCAAAATAATGGAAACCATGGCCACTAGCCCACAAACGACCTTCAACTTCATCTACTGCTCTCTTTTTATCAATCTAAAAAACAATGAAATAAAAATAGAAATCAGTTCTGTAACCTTTGACCTCCTGCTCCATCACATATTATAGTCTCTGTCATTCTGACAAATATTCTACAAATATTAGTCTGGATGGGTTGTCAACATTAACAAAATCTAATGGAGGTAACTAGCCCTTAAAACAAGAATTGCCATTTCAAAAAATCCATTTTCTATCTTCATGGACCATGTCTATGTTTTTTTATTAATCCTAATTCATCGTCATGATTCATGTTTGTTTATAATAATGCATAAATTATGGGATTTATTTCAGGAAGGGGTGCAACTCTTACTTGGCCTGGCAAAATTTACTGGATAATCAACTCCCTGTTATGCATTAGCAATGGGACTTTTTAGTAAAAGTTGACAACTGCCCCAGACCCTCCGTAGTTGAAGACTAGGAGGTTCTGGTTGACCGAGACTATCACCACATACTGTCAAATCTAGTGGTTGACACAGAATAGAATTTCTTTATTATTTTATTTATTGTGAATCAACAAATCATAATTGAATCATAAGATATATTTTTATTGAAAAACAAAGTTTTGAGGTTGGAATAGATAACCAAATTATCCCCAAAAGAACATATTTAAGGTTACAGAGGCAGTGTTTAATACCTCAACAACTTAAATCAACAGCAATAGACCACACATTCACCCAGAGAGAGAGAGAGAGAGAGAGAGAGAGAGAGAGATGGGGTTTAACATCTTGCGCATAGGGGTCTTTAGCAGTGGGAGGAAACTGGAGGACCTGGAGAAAACCTCAAAGTTGGACAGGCGACCCTACTCCTTGTCACGTACAACCAGGGAATCGAAACTACGCCAGTTGACTCAATGACAGACCTTATGATACAGTGTGCAAGTGCCAACCATTCCACCATCGATCCCCCTTCACCCATAGAATAAAGGAATAACTAAACAAACCTTATTAGCACAAACACACACTACCACATTTTCTAAATCTGACTGATTTCCTATTTCTGATTTCATTTCATTCACCCATTCTTCTAACGATTCAAAACTACTTCTTTCTGATACGTCATAAACTATAACAGCCCCTTGTGTATCACGATAAAATTCATTTCGTACCTGCAAAAAATTTACAACTTAAATAAATACCCTATCCTAATTATATAAAGTCAATACTCGAAAAAATGGTTCCAAATTTAACCTAAAAAAGTAAAGAACTTATCTCCCTGCATGCCTTGGTTTTGTTTTTTTTTCTTCAAAACCTCTGCACATACCTTGTCAGAACAATAGCATGTAACCAGACCTTTCAACACTACCACATCTACTGTGCGGTGATAAATTTCTAATTTTTTTAATTTTCTCGCTAAAAAAATACAACTCTTTGGATGTCAACAAAAACGGTAGTGAATTTTGGTTATCAACATCGATTTGGGGTTATTGTTAAGTGTAATTTAGCTAACAGATTTGATATCAAATTGTTTCCAACTATTTTAGAGTTAATGAAGCAGATATAATTATTGATACAGTTGGAATACTCTTGAAATGCTATCAATAAAATAAACAAATAGCAACCTGTTTACGACAGCATTGGCTGACATTTTCGTTTGTGCGCATACAGCATCAAATACAATATTTCGAATGCAACATGACCTGGAACATTTTTTTCTCGCCGGTTCTGAATTACACTCTCGCAAATAAATGTAAAAACAGATTTTCGGAATCTCGGTATAAAAATTCCTGTACATTGGGAGAGGATAACGATGGCAATAACGATATTATTAGTCAGTATGCAAAACAATTTTGTTGATGGTCCCCCTCTATTGGTAATGCAAAAATACTATAAAATCTGTTAAGCACACCAATTATCTAATATGAAACAATATTGACAAAAAAACTCAAGAATGAGGAACACAAGGATATTTTTAAAATCATGCTAGGCCTAAGTGGTAATTGTAATTATATTTGACATTATTTCTTTCTGTAGGCTACATATTCAATTCTTAAGTTATAGTCATTTGATTAATAACATAAATTTGATATGGTTACCATTGCTTGTGTTTATTTTATATCTATTACCCATTTAAACTAATTATTTAAAAAATCTAATACAATTTTTGTGTTGTTGGGCCTGTAGTTCGGGAAATCTACTGCCAAATCATGGTTGCATTTTTTTACATTACCCTACTGCATTACATCTACGAGGGGTTGAAGGATCTGCATGTAACATAGAAATTGAGTTCAGCAAGGGCTATACTGGTAATTGTAGTAATAGTTTAATAACAAAATACTAAACCTATTCTATATTTATATATTTCTTTGTGATCTTATTTGTCTGGAGCGCATCCAAGTATTTTATGTTTTTAAACTACTTTCTGTTCATAGAAATAGAAAGCAACAATTTAACAGATGTTCAGGGCAGCACTTAAGAATTTATTTTGTGACCATGACCCTTATGCTCATAAACATTCTGGATATGCTCATCCCAGCCCTGACCCAATTGGTACAAATTATACTGCAATTTTTTGCTGATCTCAAAGGCCTCAATTTTTCTGTATGGTTTTAATTTCTCAATTATGATTGACTGGTTAATTATTGGTTATTGTTTTATGGGCGTATGTCTGGAGTTGACTAATCTCAATCAAGCTCTTAAATTAGCCTAAACATGGCCAATGACTGTTTTTAGCTTTTTTTATACGCCCACATGAAAATATGGTCATACATTGCCGTCGCCCCCGTCCGTTTCTTGTGAACACTCTACAGACTACATTTATTATCTGATTGTTTTGAATTTGATATATGTTGTTTGCATTAGTGAGATGAAGAAGCCTATTTAATTTCAATAACTTCCATTAATTTCAGCAATTGCCCTTATTACATATAGAGTTATGGCCCTTGTTTCACTTTGATGAATCTTGTGAACGCTCTAATGACAACAGTTATCATCCGATCTGTTTGAAATTGATATGCATCATTTAAATTAGTAAAACGAAGAAGCCTATTGAATTTCAGCAATTTCCGTTAATTACACCGTGAGTTATGGCCCTTGTTTCACTTTGTTGTACCTTGTGAATGCTCTAATGACAAAAGTTATTATCCGATCTGTATGAAATTTATATGCTTCATTTAAGTTAGTAAAACAAAGAAGGCTATTGAATTTCAGCAATTTCGGTTAATTACATCTAGAGTTATGGCCCTTGTTTCACTTTGTTGAATCTTGTGAACGCTCTAATGACAACAGTTATCATCCTATCTGTTTGAAATTGATATGCATCATTAAATTAGTGCAACGAAGAAGCCTATTGAATTTCAGCAATTTCCGTTAATTATGTCGTGAGTTATGGCCCTTGTTTTACTTTGTTGAACCTTGTGAACCTTCGAAGGACAAAAGTTATCATCCGATCTGTATGAAATTTATATGCATTATTTGAATTAGTAAAACGAAAAAGCCTGTAGAATTTCAACAATTTCTGTAGATTACTTCCAGTGTTACGGCCCTTGTTTTAGTTTTTAGAACCTTGTGAACCCTCAACCGAAGAAAATAATAATGTCATCTGTATGAAATTGTCTCTTAAATGCCCCTAATTACCTACAAAAGAATAAATATGTGACAACCCTTGTCGACTGCTCGGACAATTTAGCTGCTGTGGGCATATGTTTTGTTGCTGTATCAGATAGGCTTGGATTGTTATAGCAGAATAGACAAAAAAACTAGAAATCAAGAAAACTAGAAACCCCTGTCTGGGTAGTATGTTGTTATGTTAAAAACTTACTTCGTAGAATATAGGATGTCCCGCCATATCAAATATATTTACTTTAACATCTCTGTCTTTAACTGTTACCCTGTAATAAACATTATTCAATAATTGTTGCTCATTTTAAGAAATAAATATTCCTTGGTACTGAAGAATTTCACATTTGATTTTTGCATGACAGCGTCGGTGAATTTTTTGGCCATATAGCGATGCCAACTTGGAAACTTTAGTGTGCTACATCTTTTATGTAGAACTTACCATTGCTAGGCATCTAATATATGTTCACCAACAGCTTTAAGCACACGCTAACCATTCGGCCATCCACCACTCACGCATGAAGCAAAACAAAGTTTTAATAAAACTTATGAGATGTTAAAATGACTACTGATACATCTCTTTTATTTTGGTAAATAAGGGCTGACTTAATTCAGGTTAATGTGTGAGTTCATATTGTTAAAGATACATTATGGGAGATTCGAAAACGAGTTGGCAGTTCTCACTATAAAAATTAAAAACTAGATAACGTAAAGGCAATTTGCTGAAAATTTCATTCAAATTGATCCACTATCTACAGAGAACTAAGCAAATGAAATTTCTGCCTAGCCTCGGTCATCATTACTTAAGTCAGTACAATAAACAGCATAGTCTCTATTATCCATTTAATCGTTTAATCGAGAAGGAAAGTTATGCAGTAAATCGGCTCACAATCCACTTAAGATCGCAGGCTAGCAATGCCATCTAGAGTTGATTATGGTCTGGATAAGTTAATTAATGTCTAAGTAATAATTTAGATAACATTTTAGGCCTAAAGAAAGACCTGCAATAGACAGATTTAGCTCTTGCATAATGCATGTTTAAGTGGGTAGGGTATCTGTAAATCGTACATTAAAAGAATTAGGTCCCCAAGTGGGGCCAGTGTTGAAATATGACCGATTTTGAATTCCAAGACAAAACGGACATCCATATCATTTTAAACCAAAACTCGAAAAGATTTTGTTGCATTTTTGATTGAAATAAGATGTCCATTTAACTCAATTCAACACCTTGTTTAAATTAAAGAGTGTTGTAAATTATGAAAAGAAATCAAGACCAAAAAAAACAATTAAATGACATTTGACTTTCATCAGAATAAAGACAATATGTGTTTATTTGTACTTACCTAGTAACACCGTAATCTATTCCTATTGTTGCTAAATATTTATTGACAAATCTCTTCTCACAATATCTCTTTATTATACAACTCTACAAAAATATTAAAATAATTCATCAAAGGAGATGGTCGGGATTTAACATCTTCAATAAAAATATCAACATATCATTTTGAGACTAACGTATATTATAAATTCTATGGTTGCACAAACCTAATGACCTAGTCGCTCGCTCTCTCTATCTCTCTCCCCCCCACCCCCCCACTGATGAGATTGTGAACTATACTTGAGACAGATCTGCCAATCCATGGCTCAGTCATAGATATTTTAAGATTTATAACAAGTGACAGTTGACAAACGTTCCTGTAGCTGTCTCTTACTAAATAAATGATCCAATCAACAAAAGCTAAGTCATTTTGGGACATGGTACAGTAGAGTCTATATTCAGCATCCACTCAAGGGAATTCTCAGGACTGACCACTTAACGGGAGTGACTTCTTAATAAAATCTCAGTGTTTGTTAGTACTGTTATCAAGTAAAATTTTACGACTGGATACACTGGGTGCAAACATTGATACTTCCATCGGTAAATTTGGACGTCGCTATTGGAACAAAAATTCTATGACTCAAATCTCCAATATAAATTCTGTAATGTGTCTGTATGTACCAACATATCAAAAAAGCACATGTCAAAAAAACTATCACTATTTTCAGGTGGTGTAACTCTGTATGTAATAGGGGGCGTTAAAACTTTACCAACAAAGCGGATAAGGAAAACAGATACTAGATGATCATGACAAAACTCGGCTTTCACGGTACATTTAGTTTTGTCAATCAGTATCAAATAACGTTTTATTATGTGTGAAAACAATGATCAGGATCAGGGTTTGTTATTTAATAAAACTTAAAAGAAAAGATCTATTAAAGCATAATGACTGGTTTATGGCCCGGGGGGGGGGGGGGGGGGAGAGAGATTTACTGTGACCGGTTATAAGATATTGTCGCTGAGTGAAAGGGAGTGGCTGCTCGTACAGATCCTACTGTACATCTTTATTTCCATTATCTGCATGCACACAGAGTTAGAAATCCAGACAATCAGAGAACAGATACCACAGATTTACAAAAAAAAAGTTTACCTTTCCTACTTCGGTATTACCCATACTGATGATTTTTACTCTAGGAACAACTTTAGCCTTCATTGTACCTTTTACAGATGTCATATTTCACCAAACTATTTAAAATCATAGGCCTACATAAACATTATTTCTACACACAGTTTTTAAATAAATATTTCTCTTGACATATCTACAGTACTCTTAGTTTCAGGCTTTCTTCATCCATAATGCTTACTGTACGAACAACTGGAATGACAGACAATTATTGACTTAATACATATTGGGAAAAAAATTAAATCACTTCTATAAAATAAAAATTATCCCTGGCCTATGTCAGCTTAGACCCTCCGTGTTTCGAGACGAGAGATTGTACTATATAGTTCCATCTGGCAAATCCCAACGGGGAACACATCGGGCCTCAGTAAGCAAAACTGACAACATTTTTCATCAAAACAACGATTGATTATTGTTATTCATAACATTTCTGCCACATTAAACTACAATCAAGATGTTACATGCATTAATAATGAAATTAAGTTTGCCAGGTGAAACTAAAGACACCCAATCATAACTAAAAACAACTATGTCATTATTATGCTATATTGTATAGGCTAACATGATAGACAAGGCAAAAAATGAGTTATTTCTTACGAAGTGTATATTTTGCCGTCCGACGGTTCTTTACTTTATTTACTATTTAGCCGTCACTTCCGTTCGACATGCGCAGTTGTCGATTCCTGATGATATATTCCACCATTTTGGAACATTAAAAACAACTCGTCTTTCAAGTTCGGCGCAGAAGCACGATTTTACAGGAAAAAAATAAACCACTGACAGTCTAAGTACTTAAATTAAAAACCAAAATCCGTAGAAATGCGCCCTCGACCAAAATAGAATAATATTCTAAATGCTTTTCTACAATTTACATTTATTATCTTATTTTCTTTTAAAAATAATTCTCCAGTTTCTACCTCAGAAATTCACGTATGGCTATTTGTTTCCTTATAAGAAACGGAGAAAGAAGCAATGTTAGATAAAGGATGAATAGAGCTGTCTGGTGGTTTTGGTTTTGGGTTAGGGTTGGATTATGGGTTAAAATCAGTCGGTAAAATAGCCCATGTGTTGAAAGAGCCAGAATCATTGCCAAAGTGAAAACTGCTAAGTCCAGGAATCAGACAACTGCGCATATCAAACGGAAGTGATGGCTAAATAGTAAATAAAGTAAAGAACCTTCGGACGGCAAAACACTGCCTATTTCTTATTAATTGACGATGGCTCAGACAGCAGACCATACTCAACTGTATCACTATCAGACAATAATTTACAATTATATCATTTTTGTTGTGTTCTCTCTCGGTTATCAATCATAATATGGTCGCGTGACTGAGGAGTGGATTGCAATCTAGGCCAAGAACTTCTCAAATGCATGAACGTCGTATAAACTGTCTTTTTCATTAGCATTAGCCCATTGCCATATGTCATATGATTGAAAAATAATTCTAACTTCAACTTCCGATTTATCAGGGTAGTTTCCCTAAAAAGCTCTGTATTTCTCGGTGAACTCACGTATCTAATGATATCCATTGTGCATTGTAAATTGCTCATCCTAAAATTTACATCATATTATTAAAGACTAGGGTATTCAAGCTAAAAATTTAAAATTTGCGTTTGCGTTTCAGCATGTTTACCTATACCGGAAGTTATCAACGTAAACAAACCATTTGATTGGATCTAGCAGTTGAGTAATATTTCGGAATGGGAAATCAAACGAAATTTGTTCGGTAAATCTAAAATCTTTCATATTACGCAACGAAATGAATACATTAAATTATGTACGACAGCAAAATCGACGTTGTAAAAAAACAACAACAACAAATACATCAATGGAATTTTTCAGTTATGATGTCAGCCTACAGTCCTACACTTGCCAATAGTTTAACTTGAGGGATTCAGTATATCTGATTAGAAAAAAAACTAGGGGTTTCGGTGTCTTTGAATAAATCCGCCGAAACGTGCGAACAGCGAATGCTGCAAAAATTGTGAAAATTTAACTTCACGACCGTATTTTGCATTTATCCTGTCAGACTTTGAAATAACATTCATGACAGAGCATTCATCGGATATTCCGCGATATGTTCATGTAGTACAAGAATTTTGTAATTAAGGTGGGAACAACTTTATATTACAATTAACAATTCTGCCAAATTTATTTTTGTAACGCAATGATGTTATCTTGTTGAAATAAATGTGTTCGATACAGGGCTCTCCCACAAATCTAAACATTTACAGTGTTCACAAAAAATTGTTGACTAACCGAAATTTCTACGTAATACAAAGTGCTCGAAGCTTTCTTCCAAAAGTTCTTCCATTGATATTAAAATACTTTTCCGCGACATTCCAGATCCTATATTATGTAGATTGGCCTACATAGCTCATGCATCGATGGAAAAAATATTCCCCATTTCATGTTATTACATGTCATCTAGCTCCGCTTCCGTTATGCAACTACTTGCAAGGCACCTAATGGACACCCGCTGGCGTTTCCGGGCAACTGGCGAGTTATGTATGCACTAGGTTATCAATAGCAGACTCAGTGATCAACGTCATATAATAATTTAATTACTTAATATATTGTCGGCTTATTAATTAATTTATATTTCGTGGTCATTACAAAATATCAAAACATTACATAAAGATATGCTTAGAGAGTCGAGCAAATGACTTAATGCAATGCTTGAAGGGATATGATATCTTATTAAAACCAGGCGTCATTTCGTCTCGTGTATTCGGTTAGTCTAAACAAATGTAAAATAAAACGGAACAAAATTTTGGTACATGTATAATTTTAATTAGAATGGATACCGGTACACGCAATACACCTTATCAAAAAGTGTTTTCTTTTTTCCACACAAAAATCTGTTGTATTTCGTGTCCCATTTTTAATTAAAGTAAATTACTGATATTTTACTTTGTGTATACCAAGGTTAATTTCCTCATATTCTTTACACTGAATAACTTTTATTTATAACACGTAATGTAGGTGAGTGTCATTAGGTCATTGTAGATCGAGTTAATGACAATAGGAAATAATTTGGCTATTATAGTTTAGTATTGTTACACACGTCATACTTCACCAAAGACTTCCAAAATGTTTAACTTGTTTCATAAGTTTCCATTGAAAAAAACAAAAGATGTTTTATGAACGAAATTGTATGTCTAAATAATCAAGATATCAGTTTCTTCCCCGTAATAATCAAAATATCAGTTCCCTTTAAAATTATAAATCCGCGGAAAGGAAGTAATCAGAATATTTTTAACATGTCACAACCCAGTCTGAATACAGATCAAAAACGTTTTAATGTTTTCATGTCCCGAAATGTTTTTATAAAGGGATATTCGATTGAGTTTAATTTTAATTAAACTGTTAATAGTCTGACAGATTTGTATCTTCACAACATCTATATTCCATTGTTTCAACAACGATTCCATGATGTTCCTTCCATTCATAATTATTGGCACACATATGGCTGCTCGGAGAAAAACTGGGAAGTCGGAACATTGAAACCCAACATTATTTCAAAACATAGACGGGACGGAGGCTTGTATATATGGAATTTAGATTTAGAATTTCGATGGTGTTTGCTGTTGAAAAAATCAGACTAAACATAGAAGCAGGGCATGGATGCAGATGACGAAAATGTGGTGATCGTCTAAACATTAATGTTTTAACTTGTACAGTATTTCATTTTATTTTTTATCATTTATATTGGTATCTATTGTCTGTTTATATTTTAATTGTGATAATTTCTATCACTTAACTTTTAACTCTTGTAAATCGTTTCTGAAACGAATGTGTAGAACGCTATATGAAAATAAATTATTATTATTAGTAGTATAATTATGATAACGTCCCTGAAACTCAGGTTCATGCTTCTATTCCCACAGGAAATGGACAAACGGTATAATTTAGAAGCATATACAATTAACAATAATGAACAATGAATCAAAATAAAGTACACATATTTAAACACCGGATATTCTATTATTAGGCTGGACTGAAGATGTTTGTTCAGAATATGACAATGAGCATTGACGTATAGGCCACCCTGAATATTACGATTTTTATTCTCCTATCTCTTTCTGGTATGGAGGGGAGGGGATCACGATAAATTGCGCATGTTAAACATAATAACGATGTTTCTATTGATGCGACCCTGTCCAGGGGCGGATCCAGAAGTTTTTGCAGGAGGGGGTTTGCCAGGTTCCTGTCAAGGAAATTTGACTGTTGACGATGCATGATACCACAGTTTCCAAATTACGTAGGCATACGCAGTGTAACATTGAGCTTTTTAAAGAGAGACGTCAATTTTTATTATGAATTAATAGGATCACATTGTGGTTCAATTTCATTGATGCAAAGCATTAATTGTGATATCGCGTATGCATAATGTCTATATTAGGCTATACCGGGCAAGGAACAATGTAAACGTTAACGTACATGTGTAAAACCATTGCAAGCTCCCGTACACAGACTGACCTGACAGTATCTAAATAAGAGTAACGCCGCTCTCCCGGCAAAATTTCCCTTGCAGCACACTGCATGCCATGGCGATGGCGTATGCTCGTATTAGCTAGCCCGGGGAGAGGGAAGGGGGGGGGGCGTAGGATTTAACGTCTTACTATTCTGCATAGCCCGAAAGGAGCGCAAAACTAGGACGCTATAAATCCCGTTGACTTCATTTCACATTTGGACAACCCAAGCTGTACGCTTTCATTTTATTATTCACCAATTTGCAAAGGGGGAGTCGATTACATCGATATCGGAATATATAATAGTATGATCTATTTCTAAATATTCACAGATGTATACAGATATATAAACAGTGATATGCACTGCAGGGTCATTTTCTCAAATGTCATAATAATTTAAGTTTTTTGGGTACACTTCTGTGATGTGAATAAATTATTGTTATTTTATTTAAATCTCACGGAAATAAAATCTTATTAATAAAAACTGTAACAGTCACCTTGAACCACAGGAGTTTTCATTGAGAAAAAAACGGAAACAACGAGTGCCTACATGTACATGTAGATATCCATGTAAACACAAGTGGGCTTTGGTTTTTCTTATCCCATCCGAACGACTATGCAACACCTTTTTTTAATTCAATTGAATGACTTTCAGATTAATCTGTCGTAGATTTTTCAATTGATAATTTTTTTTATTGTTTTCTATGCAAACGTAGGACGACGATTAGGCTACCTCTTTAAATTGTCAGTCTGTCTTAAGTGGATAATGTCAAACACACATTTCTGCTGCACCCAATTTTATAACATAACAGTCTTTCGTTTTGGTGCAGACAGACAGGATATTATTAAACCAAACTCAACAGATAGTCCATTCATCCGTTCAGACTCATTGCTAGAGTATATTGCAGCACGAGTTCTCGCTCTAAACATAACGGAGCACAATAGAATATCGGTCACACTGCACGAGACAAGTAGGACTAGATCTGTGGGCTAGAGTAACTAACATCAAGTCGCCCAAGTTCATTGTGCGCTGATTATTCGCACCACTCGCTTGACCCCGCGTTCAAGATGGCTGCCGAATGAGAGATTGTGTGAGTTTTGTGTCGATTATTCGGAGATTTTCTCCGATTTTAACGAAGTGTGAGTAGCAGACGATGCGAGAATTCGTTTGATATCTAAATATGCTCGATGCAGGCTATACAACGATACATATTAGTGACCGTATGTGGAATATTCGTTATTCTGGGGTACGTTTGTCTTAACAGATTGAGCCATGTCGGGCAGAGGCGGAATGGTCCAAAAATCCTCCGTTCCTATGTGGATTGGGGAGATTTCAGTTTCAACGAGGACCTCCATTTGTCGACAAAATTCAGACGGTCCGTTCCGTCACAGACCTATCGGCAAAGATGCCGAATGTCTTCATGCTTTGACTTCTCTTTGTGTGAGAATGGATTTAAAGTGTACGTTTATCCGAGCTGGAAGAACGTTGTGTCGGACACATTTTCCCAAATCCTTACTGCCATCGAGCAATCCAGATACTACACAAATGATCCTAAACAAGCCTGCTTATTCATACCAAATGTTGATACTTTAGACCAAGATAAACTCAGCCACGATTTTGTTCACGATGTTCAAAGCAAACTTTCCGCCCTACCGTACTGGAATAATGGACGAAATCACATCATTTTTAATATTTTTTCTGGAACGTGGCCTGATTACACTGAAAATGTTGGATTCGATTTTGGAGAAGCCATTTTAGCCAAAGCAAGTTTATCTGTTTCAAAGTTTAGATATGGATTCGATATTTCTTTTCCACTGGTTGCGAAGGATCATGTTTTAAAAGGCGGAGATAAGGGTTACTTGTACTCATCTTCTAATAATATACCCTCTCCCCGCGAATACTTACTGGCTTTCAAAGGCAAACGCTATTTAACAGGCAAGGGGTCAGAAACTCGTAACTCCCTCTATCATGTGCACAACGGAAAGGATATAGTTTTGTTGACAACTTGTCGTCATGGGAAAAGTTGGGAGAAGAATAAAGATGCCCGTTGTGATGAAGATAATAGAGAATATGACAAGTAAGTTGAACTTTGACCTTACAAGAAGATAATTCTTGTTTTCATTTTCTCCCCTCAGTAACTAATTTTTGATTTGACATTAGACTTCACTAGACAGTTACATGTACATGTTGGGCATACTTAAATTATGATTTCATGCACAATTTGAGTCAATCTGGCCAAATGTTCAAACTGTCATGATTGTCGGTGATCATCGCAATTTTCATTTCTTTCATACTATATTTTGCTTTGAAATTTTTAGACAAAGTAAATCTTACTTACACATTGTCACATTTTGGAGTTTTATTTATGTAACTTAAAATCTCTCTTATTTATGCCATTTATGGTGTGATTGGTGTTCTGTGAAATCTTGGACTCTCGCTTTAAAATGTAATGATAATAGCTGTAGATAAAACTGTGCATTATATTTCCCTTTATTGACTATAACTTGATAACTACCGGATATTATATTAATAACCATGAATAAAATAATCCTCTATATTAATAGAATTGATAAAATACATTTATATAGAGTTTGATTAATTTATAATAAGCCAGAAATATATAAATGAATAAGTTGCAGTGATAAATATGTTAAATTTAAAGTAGCAATGCACATGTATGCTAGCCAGAATAATTTGTCGTCATTAATGAACTGGTAATCTTACTAATTGTTGAATATGAATATTAATTCAGAAATTTATCCCTCCATAATGCCACTTAATATAAAGTAAACAAATGTTAGTTTGGTAGTCAACCAATTGAAGAATTAGAGTTCTCTAAGGTTATTTTAGAGAAATGTGAAGGGTTGTAAGATTCAATTACTTTGCACATGTAGGTGACTATTGTATGGCTTTTTTAAAAACTCCATGCAAAGATTGGACATGGTGGGCTTTTATATACATGTATTAATAACGATATTGTTACTAGTACTTTAAACAATACCAGAATAATTCTGTCAATGTTGTGACATATTCAATAGCTTTTATAGATAACATGCTTTTATAGATAACATGCTTTTATCGTCCATGATAATTAAGTTATTGTATAGATAATTGATACTAGACACAGATGGTACATGTACATTTAGAAGTAATTAAATGTGATAGGTTTAATAACCAACAGAAAAAAACTTTTGAAATAGTATGATTTCCTCTTATTAAACGTGATATTCAGTACCTAATGATATTTTCAATAAGTTATAGAAATACATGTATGAGACTAGAATACAATCATGTATTGAGTAATATTAATTTCTATGGTTACTTACAAGTGCAATAAGTGAATTTAGACCTGACAGCAGTTCCCAAATCTACTCATCTTCGAATTCCAACCAGCAACATTCTTATATTTATATGTCAGTGTGTGAACTTCTTTTTTTCGACACATCTGTGTTGTAGGCATAATCTTTAGAGTGGCAGACATGCTCTCCTTGTTGGCAGGGAGTTGGAATGTACACCCAGATTAACCTTGATGCTTTTATTTATATTGTAATGTACATATACATGTAAGCTTATATTTCTAACAAACTATATTAATTGTTGTATAACTCATATTTACTGTGATACTAACAGTGAATACCATACCAAGGTATATTTTATAACTTACAATATTTACTGAATGATACAATTATACTTCAGTAACTCACAGTCAATAACAGGTATATTTTATAATATTTACTATGATAAATTTAACAGCCCACAGTTTAAGGTGCATTTAGCTGTGTATATTTTATACCTTATAATATTTACTGTGATATATTTAATAACCAACAGTTTATAGTACATGTACCAGTGGATATTTTACAATATTTTCTGTGATATATTTAATAACCCACAGTTAAAAGTACATGTATTATGACTACTGGGTGGTTCACTGGTTTTTCTGTTCCTGGACAAATCTTCTATGTTATGTATAATATGTACTATAAATCAATTTAGTTTAGTCCAGGTTTGTATGACACAGTATAAAGTAAGCTATGATGGAATCTTCAGTAATAATTTATTAGATTATTCATGGAGAACTACATGTACATGTGTACAATGTATCACAAATTTTCTGGACCTGTAGACAACATTCTATAATAAAAGAATGACATTTAAAGGAGACATACTGTTCATGTACATTTGTTTCCACCCATCTTAAACATTACAATGTATCTGCAAATTCATCTAAAGTTATTTTGATCTGAGAGTATGATATTGTATGTGAAAAGTCAGATTATTATGGATTCAATTCATCTGTTAATACACTGAAAGGTTTTAAATTAAGATTTCTAATACCGGTAGTGATAATGTACTATTGTTACAAGATATGTGTATGGATTCTAAAAACATCAACTGTGTACATGTACTTCATGTTCAGCACTGTTCAGAGATGTGGTAATAAACAATATTTTAGGCAATCAATTTTACCCAAAATGAGATACATTAATTTTTGTAATTTACGCAACTACATGTACATGTATACTTTGGTGAAATTCTTCCATTCAACTAAAGCGGTGAACACACTAGACGAATCAATCAACATCTGTTCGGCCGTATGATTCGCCAGAATCGAACACATTCGCCTAGTGTGCCCGCTTCATCAAATCATTCGCCCGAATGTAGAATTCATTAGCCAATCACCACTCATCATCCACTCATAATGAGATGTCATGTGATTGTTTGAAGACATCGCCACCGCCATGTTTAATCATGTGACATGAAAGGTGATGCAATCGATTGGTGAATCAGACAAAGCATTCACCTAGTGTGTCTACCCATTCGGCCAAATAAAATTAGGCTAATGTGTCCACCGCTTTAGTGTCATATAAGTATAAGGTTAAGTTAAGAATAATAGAATAGAAAGAATATTATTTAAATTCCTTATAAAATATCTGTGACTGTTAATAAGTAATCTGAGACAAAAGTGGTTATTACAAGTTTCATCACAGACAGAAATGTAATTTCATGTCACTTTAATACTTTGTGTTGTGATAGTGTTTGTTTATGAATCTATAGCCTACATTATTGTACGGTACACAGGATTGTGTTTTTGACAGGGGCATGAGCCAGAAGGCTGATACATATTATGTAAGAGAATAATCTGCCAAAGGCGACATAAAAAGAATTAGTTGGAGATCGTCCCAGACCCCCCAGAAAATTCTACCTGACCAAAATTTTAGTTTTATTTTCGAAATTTACCCTCTTACGATGTTTAAAACCATAGGTAAAAGTGCGAAATTGTAGCTAGTCTACAAAATTCCTAGGCTAACATTTTCGTTTGTGCGCGTACAGCATGAAATAAATATTTTGAATACAATACAACCTGGCACTATGTTTTAAGATAGGAATACATGTACGTCTCGCCGATTTAATTACATGGAACGCTCTCTAGTATAAATGTAACAACAGATTTTCGAAATCCCGGGAAAAAAATCCCGTACAATGTAAGAGGATATAATCGCCATTGCCATGGCCCTATGGGGGACATGAGTATCTAAATCGACGGATGCCATGCCATCCGATTTTAATGTTGGTTAGTTGTCATGCAAAACGTTTATTTTCTGGGGGTTTTTTTTGTTTCTTTCTTTCTACAGTTTCTTCGCAAACCACAATATTATGAAAGTTAGAGAGAGAGAGAGGTTTAATGTCCATTTGACACAAACTAAGTCATTTCGAGACTAACATATGGTTCAATTTTACTTCAATAATTCGCTTGCATGCTAAAAAGAATATCCGTCCAACTCCCTACTTCCCTCCCACATTTTTGGAAAACTTTCGTTTGACCTCAGATATTACATGTATATAAATCATAAATTATAAATAAGACATTTATTCACATGCCAAGCCCATAATCAACTCTCTAGAACATTGAATGCTTTTGATTTTCAACAGATTTAAACATGATTGTACGCTAGATCACAAGGTCTGTCATTTCTCTCTCTCTCTATCTGAATCTCTCTTATGGATAGAAATGAATTACCTTTAGCTTTAAATGATCAATAGTAGCATCAAATATGTAGAAAGTAATGGCAGTTAATCTTTATGATAGAATTGATTGGTTTAAATACTTTTGAACCATTATACTTTTATTGTCTTAAGGTCAGTATCTTTTATTTAAGAAATGTTACGACTTGAATGGGTCATAAATATTGGTTATATTTCTTTTGGGTTGATTGAAATCGGTTGTCACTGGATTTTTACCCCACAAGAGACAAAGTCATCATGATCACTTACTGTGTATGTACATGTATTCTTATTTCATAACAAAATGAAATGAAAGTTACATTAACATCCTATTTTTCTATAACAACTGCATAATAGATTGACTGATGGTAAATTGTTATTCACCCATGGCTGCATGTCCATGGGTTTAACACTAACTGCACTAAAATTATTTTCTACAAATTAAGTATTAATAAAAGCTTAATATACGCTGTACGATAAAATGTCATTTTACTACCAATTTAACAGAAGTATGAACTCCTTAAAAAGTTGGCCAGTGTGAATAAATACGTAAATATAACTTCACACTTCATTCGTTTCTTGCAATTTATGAAAAACCTAAAATGTAATCAATAAAAAATAACATGAATACATACAATGATTTTATTCATTATATACCTGGTTATAATTCATTACTAACGGCCTCATTAACAGTTGTATAGAGAATAGAGCTTTTTATGTGGTATTCAATATTGACTGATGATATCAGAGACTGTTAATATTAATATGTTGTATTTGCATTTTCACTCATCAGTGATTTCTATCAAATAGCAGATAATATTATACAAGTCATCAAAATATACAGTTATTACACTGCAGCTGATCATATACACCGGTATGTTTATAGGAGCAATCCCATATCTGTCATGTTATCTGTAAAAAATAATGAAAAAGACAAAAGGTGTTAAAATTTATTCAAATTGAATTCAACAATTAACAAAAATTGCCCATCTGCATAGTCTTCTTAAAGTTTCTAATCAAAATATTGAATCTTTCGGAAATGGTAGCTACACGTTACCATTTAGGTACACG